TCCCGGCACCAGTTCACCTTAGAAACCTTAGAAACCTACAATTAAAAAAAAGAGAAAGTCAAGCTGGACCCTACCCGAGAGTCCTTAAATCAGGATTCCTGGGCAGGTAACCAGGGCCTCAGGAGCTGCTCCCAGGAAGGAGAACCTCTGTCCTAGCTGAGTTCTCTAAACTGCAGGCTACGGAACCACTCTTAGTGCAGAGAGTCCTTCAGATGCTTTGGGGTAGAAAGAAGATTGAGTCACATACAGTGTTATTATAAAATGTTACTTCAATGAAAGTAATAAAAATTTAATGGATACAATTCACATTTTCCAAGTAAAAATGGAATTTATTATGAAAAAAGAATCAAGATTTGAGGACTTTAATTCCTTACATAGAAAAGGTGGGTAATATTTAGTGTATCTCAGAAGTTTGTTTGAACAAACAATTGGTAATAAAGTTAAAAACTCTTCACTCTGCTTTAGGTTTTTTTTTTTTTAATTCTGTCTAATCTGAAGTGTTTTCTGTTTCTTTGGAATAATAAAGAGATCATTGTTCATAATAGTGAGTGATATCTTGAATTATCTTCTGAATACCTTCTTTATTCACTTTAGCTTTCAAATTGTGTATTTTAGTGTGTTGCAACTAAGAAAATGTATATAGCTTATGCTCCTAAACTTACTTTTTTGAAATAGTCCTGGTGGAATTGATAAATCCATCTGCAATCTTGTAATCTCCACAGTTGAAGGCTTCATAGACCTATTAAACAGTATTATCATTTCTTAAACCATTTTAGATTCTTTCTAGAAGTACTTTTTTGGGCAGCCTCAGTGGCAGCTAAGGCCTATGCTTGATCATTCAAAATTTAGTCTGAGGAATGAAGTAGGAGATCATGTGAGACAAATACATTTTTGGGAAATGCTTTATGAATATTAAGTAATTTGTTGTTTTTCTTGTGCTTCCCCAGTTAACCCTACAGGCATCTCAAAAGTTGGTTCTAAGTTGTTTGAAAAGTGATACCATTGAAAAGTAGGTAGCCTTCTAAAATGTGCCCATTGACAACTGAGCAAGCTATTTTATTTTATTTTGGGCATAATTATACAAATAATTCATGTTATTTTATTGATTCTTAAGGAATGTACATAATTCTTGCCAGTATACCAGAGCATTCACTTAACATGAATAGTCTCGTAATCATCCTGCATATTATTAATTGTACCATATGAACTAGACATGAATTATTGCCCTGTCATATTATGATTTTGTTTTATATTGTTGAACTTTTCCAGTAAAAGTGGTTTCTGGGCACCTCCCTGGTGGCGCAGTGGGTTAAAGCGCATCATTAAGAAGCTGGCTGCAGCCACTTCAGCACAAGATCGATCTCTGGTCAGGGAGCTGACGCACATGGCAGGGCAGATCTCTCCTGACCCACCTGTCTTTGGTGAATCCACTTACTGCCCCCACACGTTTGGCCTACACCCCAGTTCTGTATGCATAAATAAATAAATCTTTTTAAAAAATGATTTCTTACAGTTAAGAATCACTGAAAACCTTGATAATATCACTTGCTTTTTATTACACTAGAATTTTGTTGCTAATGAAGTTAATAATGAGACATCATACAACTTACAGACCCTTGTAGTTTCTTCTTTTCCTCCTCCTATTTTCCCTTAATAGACATGCAAAATGGATGTTTGTTTTTGGTGAAGAGGGACATGCAAGCCTAGTCAAACTAAGTTGATAACCTAAGAATCATAACTGAAAATACAGAGAAGTTTTGTGTTACAATTATTTCCTCTTATTTCTTTAGGAGGAGCTATGAGGGTTGGATAACTATGCTAATTGTAAATCTGTTATTCTCTGTGGTATTTACTGAAAAGTTAATAAGTCTTCAATTAGCACCTGATAGATCTGGAACAATGCTTTTTAAGTGATTGCATAGTCAGTATGTTAGGGGAGTTCTTTAAAATAAATAGTTTTCTTTTGAGGAAAATAAGCTTATTGTAATTATAGGCTTCCGTGATTAAAGTGCTAATAAAAGGTGATAGTATTTAAAATGAATTGTGAAAAGGATGTCATGAATTGTGAAAAGGATGTCATCGAAGAGACACATATAACTTGAGTTGGCAAATTGCTAAGTTAGTGAATTAATTAAGGTTACTGTAACTCTTGGCAGACCTTAGTTTTTAATACAGCAGGTAGCAGCAAGTGGCTTTGCTTTATAATGACCTTTGTTTAAATTCCTTTTTTAAGATCAGTATATATGACAAGGATTAATATCTCTGTTGCAAAAGAAATAATTTTGGTATTTCATAGTTGTTTAGTAGATCAGTATTAACCCACAGTATGTTTATATATATATCTGTGAAATAATCTATTTAGTAAAATTATAGGTTTTTTCTTAGTCTAATATGCACACAAACATAATATATACATATACATTTTACATATAAAGACACACCTAAATAGCCTAACATCCTAGGACCTTTCTTTGTGAGCAGAACTCTGCATTCCTAACATCTGTGGATGACACAAATAATCATAAATTTAAAAAATCAGTTCTGTTGAGATATAATTTACAAACCATAAAATTGAACAATGTTAAGTACATGGTTCTAAGGGTTTTAGTTATTAGCAGAGTTGTGTCACAATAAATTTTAGAGGTTTTTCACTGCACAAAAATTCAACGCACTGTCACCACCTCTGTATTCCTATCACTTGTTTAACCTCCCAACCTTTCCATAACCTCTAATCTAGCTTTGTCTGTAAAGATTTGCCTGTTACACTTCATGTAGTGTAATGATATAGTATGTGGTTTTTATGAATAACCTCTTTTATGTACATGTTTTTAAAATTTCAGGGTCTCAACTACTCAACTCTTCTGCGCTGGGACAGTTCTAGAGCAGGTATAGATGATAAGTAAATGAGTGTGAGTGATTGCATTCTGGTAAAATTTTATTTACAAAATCAGGCAATGGAGCAGATTTGGCAGAGAGGACAGGGAGTGAGGAGGTGGAAGTAGGTGGGGGCTCTAGTTCATTGGCTTTCTGATTTTTTGCTGTGTGTTCTTACTGTGCTATAAGCCTCTTTTTTTTCCTGTTTCCTTTGGCATCTAGTTTCCATACTATAGACTTTCCTTGTGGTCCACTAGCATTTTGCTGCCTGTCATATTTATGAGAACACAAGAACATTGATTAGAAAGTTTGAGCACTGGGTACAGTTTGTTCACTGCTTTGCCCTTTATTTTAGGGTGATCTAGCTGTGACATCACATTAGATAACCTCCTAGTGTTGGGATTCATTAGTCTCCTCTAGGGCTGACCTCATTTCCACAAGCAAAACATATTTTACCTTCCATAAGGAATAAGCCAATTGGCCAGAAAGAGAAAGAAAAATACCGGTGAAACCATACTCATAGCAGGAGTATAATGGACCAGGCGAGAAAATAACAAAAGTAATGAACAACCATATACCAGAGACATTCTGTGGGGGTGGAGTGGGGAATGGGATCAGAAACGAGGTTGGAGGGGTGGGGGGCCGGGGGGGAGCGGGGAGGGAAGTGCATGGGACCATGGTGATGGCACATGGGGATTACAATTGAGATGAAGAAAAAAAAAAAAAAAAAAAGAATAAGCCAGTTGTCTCCTGAGCTGGGACATGAAAATCATTTGCCTTGATAGAAGGTGGAGAGGTCAGGGAACCAAGCTAGATCTCAAACAGATTTGTCACCTGCATTTTGCTTCCAGGTTACCTGTAACCATCATGCTGAAGTCTCTTGTTGCGTGTGTGTAGTATAGTGCTGCCTGTGTAGTATAAAGTGCTACCTGTTTGTTTTCTCCATTGTTTTCCTCAGTTTCTGTAGCACTGAAGACAGGTCTGTTCCCAATTGTTCATCTCCTTTCCCACTTTAAAAGTTAGTTGTCTTCTTTCAAATTTTAGTCTGTGTAGATTTATGCTTTTTAATTTTTACTTTAATTCAGTAAGTCTTGACTAAAGTTGATTTCCTTCTTTTTAAAACAAATTTCTGTTGAAGTAACATTGCATTGTCACCTTCCATAAGGTTATAAGGTGTGCCTCATTATAAATCAACATGTGTATATGCTATGTGAGTTCACCACTCAAAGTCCCTTTCTGTCCTTCCCCATACATGTCATCTGTTTTACCCCACTTACTCCCTCCCCTTCTGGTAATTACTAATTTGCTCTTATAATCAAAAAATTTTGTTTTATTTATTTCATTTTTTTGCTTAGTTTCTTTCTGTATCGTGTAGGAGTAAAACCATACTATGTTTTGGATTTCTTCATCTGACTGATTTCAATAAGATTTATTCCTTTTTTTCAATCTCTTTATTCTTATTTCATGGGAATTTTAGGAGATAGTGAAAATAAATGCTTATGTCCAATTCACTGTCTTTAACAAAAAGTAGTCTGCTTCTATTTTTAATCTCAAAGTTGTCAGTTTTTCTTCAACCTTCACTGTAACCCTCACTTGATTTGTTTTTAAAATACACTAGAAGCTGTCTTAACTGACCTTCCTGTAACTGGCATGCCAGATTAATGCATGCTCTCTATTCCTCTGTAAAATACATTATGGATGCCCACTGCAAGGGACAAAAGCTGCTCTTCGGTAGATCTGTACACTTTTCGTCCCACCAGTTGACTTGTGTATTTTTGTAAGGGTAAGTTTCAAGATACAGAAGCTTAGAAATAGTAGTTGGTACATTATGGTTATATTAAATCCATATTCTTGAACTCTAGTGAGCCACATCAAGAGTTAATGCATGAATGAATATACACAGTTTTAAAGTAAAATATTTAAATTTGATATCTTTTTTTTATGATGCTTTGCATTTATGGCTGCCTTTGTTAAATGAAAAACTACTGGCCCCAAATTTGTGTTTGGAAACAGCTTGATTTAAAATAACATAGAAGTGTCATTATACCCTATGGGTTAAATGTATGCTATTGCCATATTACATGCTGAATTTTCACATGCTTCACAAAATAATTGTTTTTGTTTAGTTCCAGATGTTGAAGTGAAAGGAGAGTTTTCTAGCTACTATCTGTTGTTACAAGGGAATGGTAATAGCAAATGTAAAGCCACATTGATTTATTCAGCCAACCAGATCAATGGCTCATTTGCACTCAGTCTAATTCATGCAAAGATGAAAGCAAAGCCAGAAGATGCTGAGCTGAGTAAGTGGAAAACATTTTTTTTTTTTTTAAAGATTTATTTATTTGTACATACAGAACTGGGGTACAGGCCAGAGGCTCAGGGATGGTGAGAGGCTTCACCAGAGACAGAGTGGGGAGCAGAACAGGCAGGTAGATGAAGTACACTGCTGAGGGGAGCAGCGGGCGGGTCAGGAGAGGTCTGCCACGCCATGTGGTCACCTCCGGGGCAGGCGGGGATCGAACTCATGCGGAAGTGGCTTTAGCTTCTCAGTGCTGTGCTTTAATCCGCTGCACCACCAGGGAGGGCCAGAGTAAGTGGAAAACATTTTTACATTTGTTTGTATACATATTAATTTGTAGTTTTTAAAATGAACTTATTTCCCCCCAGACTCCATTTTACTTTTAATAAAATTACCTTTTATCCTATTATTATTTTTACATTTTTAAAGGCCAGATTTATTAGGAAATAGAGAAGGAAAAGGTAGAGGCACCTACATAGTCCCAGACAAACTTATTTTTCATTTTAAACAGACTGTACTCGAACAATTTAGAGTGAAGAGGATTCCTTTCCCTTTGTACATATATCATTTTATTTACCATTTATTTCAGAACTAGCATCTTGTTTGTTTTAATTGTTCATCTTTTCTCTACAACCTCTGTTTTTGTCATCTACAATGACATGGCAAACTACCCCAAATTCAGCTTTAACACTACGGTTATGATTATGTTTCCTGGTCTTATGTCTGACTGGCTCAGCAGAATGTTTCTGTTTTGAAGGCCTGCACCTGACTGCGGTCATACACAGTTGAGACGCCAGCCACTTGGAGACTTCTAGAACTTAGGGTGTGAGGCAGCTTCTTTACCCCATGTTCAGTGCCTGGTTAAGATGGCTCAAAAGTGAGAGCTGACTTTGTCCTCGTGTGCCCTTTTTTGAGGCCAACTTAAGCTTCCTCACTAACTTCATAGTCTCGGGGTAGTCTTATTTCTTACGTGATTGCTAACGTCACTAAAAGCAGTTGTTTTAAGAAGCTTGAAGGATCTTTGTGACCTACAAGTGATTCAGAGCCTCTTTGACCATACCTTAGTGTTTGCACGGATCAGCCTGGATTCCTTGTGGAAGAGTCACACACATGTCTAGCAGACAGTGTCATTGTGGCTGCTCTTCCCAGCTGTGTTTTGTGTAGATGTTTCAGTAGCTGAGTAGGTCAGGTACAAGATAATGTGATGGAGGGAGGAGAAACCGTGTTATTTAAATATTTAAGAACTGCTCAAAGTAAAAAATGCAAAGTAATTTAGTATGCTTATTTTATGCAACTTAACTGTTGTGCAAGATTAAGAGATGTATGACTTTAAAAGGAAAAAGTTTTGTGAAACGTTTCCTGAGAACTGAGCATTAATTGTTGTCATAGATAATCTTCAATACTAATTTTTGTTTGTTTCTCAGGCTTGCCTTTTGACTTACTGCCACTTCCAGTTTTTTCTGGAGAGCAGCTTATACAGAGAGAGAAAGAGTTAGCTGATGTTCAAGCCTTCGCTTTGAAAGAATGTCTAAGCAAGTAACCATTTATATATTTCTTCCCACTGTAAATATTGACTTGTTGAGACATAACGCATTGTTGTGAGGTGTTGCACTCATCTGTAGAACTATTTTTGATAAAAATGATATAGAATAAAAAAGATTCACATCTTTTTTTTTCATTCAGATTGAGACTATTTCTGTTTATTTGTACATTACTGTTAACATTTGTGAAAGGATCTCTTCAGGCAAATTTTGTATTTCTTTACTTTTAACTGGATGATGGGAAAGATACCTAAGTTCTGTTATTCTGGTTAGTATTGACCTCTCTCTCTCTCTCTACCTACCTATCTGGCTATAATAGAATATAGACAGTAAGTAGAAGAAAATGCAAGTCCAGAGAAATTTACATGTTAACTTGAGCTTTGATTTTGACTTTAATCATGATCATCAATGGTAATAATACCATGAACACATTTCACATTTCAGGGAAAAATTAGATCGGCATTTTCAATAAAGGTAGTACATATTAAAAACAAGAAAAAAATATTGAAATATTAATATTTTTGTGCATGGAAATACCTATATTCCAAATCTTAACTCCCATTATTATTCACTTCTTGACTTTGTCTTATCCTGCTAAACCGACTTCAGGCCCTAATTGCCTGCAATAAGCCTCCTGTAACTTTTTATAACTCGGTTCTTTTCACTTCCCCCCCCCCATCTTTCAACTTCACTACCCCTTTATCCTTCTAACCAGAAAAACTGCCAGAGTGGGAGAACAGGGAGCTCTATGAAGCTGGTGCCTGCATGATCTCTTCTTTGAGTAGAATTAACCTTCAGACCACCTTTGCTGCTTGGTTGGGAAGAGAAATGCGGACAGCTCTAACTAGTTGCCATGTACAGGGGTGACTGGGAGCGCTCCCATGGTGAGGGATGCTGATAGACGCACCAGCAGCTGTAAGGATGCCACAATGGAGGCCAAAGGGCAAGGCACAAGGGCTGGTAGAGGTCTGAAGTGGGAGGAAGGAAACCTTCCTGAAAGTAGCTGCCAGACTCACCAGCACAGCCATAAAATGACCAACTTGCAATCTGAAGCATTAAATCTTGATTAGATTAATGATCCATTTAATCCATTTATGATGGAAATACTTTCTGACCCAATCTCTTCTCTAACCAGAGAATTAACATACAATATTATGACACTTTTGTTTTTTAAGTTTTTTTTTTGTATTGAAGAACTAGCGTGTAGGTCAAAGATATGGGATGTGTGTGTATCAGAGGACTCACCTGAGACACAGTGGGGAGCAGAACGGGATATTTACTGAAATACGCTGCTGAAGGGAGCAGTGGGAAAGAGAGGAGAGGTCTGCTGAGCCATGTGGCTCAGCTCCCTGACCGGGAGTTGAACTCAGGCCACAGCTGTGGGCTGTCAGGGTGATAGTGATGAGACTTAATCCCAAGGCCACCAGAGTGGGCTCTGAGACACTTTATTTTATTTTATTTTATTTTTTTAAAGATTTATTTATTTGTGCATACAGAACTGGGGTACAGGCCAGAGGCTCAGGGGCGGCGAGAGGCTTCACCAGAGACAGAGTGGGGAGCAGAACAGGCAGATAGACGAAGCACACTGCTGAGGGGAGCAGCGTGCGGGTCAGGAGAGGTCTGCCACGCCTTGTGGTCACCTCCGGGGCAGGCGGGAATCGAACTCATGCGGAAGGGGCTTTAGATTCTCAGTGCTGTGCTTTAACCCGCTGCGCCACCAGGGAGGGCCACTTTATTTTATTTTAAAATGTCACATAAATAACATTTCTGTTACAGTTTAATTTTTCAGAATATATCTTCACTAGTGTAACTCATTCTTAAAAATATCTTAGTACTATTAGAATAGTATATAAAATCTGTAATTTTTTATTTTACTTGACTTCTAGTTTTCTTGTATTTGGAAATAGTAAGTATGTTTCACTGATTCTGAAAAAAATTAAGAATGCTAAATAATTTTAAATAAAAGATTTTTCAGTCTGATGTAAAATCAACACCATAAAAAAACACCTGGGTTGCTCCAGGGTTATGGTCACTGTTCTGAGAACCCACATCTTTTTAATTTTATAGAATGCAGTGCAGACCTGATGATGCACAGCCTGCTGATACTTTCAGATATTCAATTCTATTTTTCTTTCATAAGTCCTTAGTTGTGCACTTTCTAAAAAATAGTACACATTACTGGTGCATTTTTAGACTCTAATCCAATATTTTTCTCCTAAATCTTTATCTGCTATTTGTGTGCAGACTCATTTGTGTAGAAATTTATTTTCCACTGAGGTAAATTATCCCCTGCTGATAACCTTATTAAACTAAATATGTCCTCCCTCTTTTTCAGTCAAGGTCAATATCAGTCTTACCTGCTTTCCAGATTGTCCAATATTGTAATATAATTGACAGTTTTAATAAGCTTAAGTCAGGTTTATTACTTAAGCATATTTTTAGTTTTATTAAAAATATAGGGCTAATTTCTGAAGCACTATTCTTATACATCTTTCATATGAAAGCAAGCCATTGATAACTTTTTGCTTTAGGTGGCTCCCAGCAGATTGTGCAGAAAATAAAAAGCCTCAGTGCTTTGTACCTTCTCACTAAAGAGCTCTAATAAAAGCAGCATATATTACAACTCTTACTTACTTGGCCATGCTTACGTTCACGATTACAGAAATGATGCTTTACTTGTCTTGGCTCAGAACTGTACTGACCTTACCTGTACACACATTGGTAAGGGATTTCACAAAGGTGTTTATCATAAAACTGATGTGCTAAAGCAGAACCTTGAGACTGGCTACTTGCTCCTCAGCCTCTTCTCTTGCATTATGTATGTACCGACCACACAAAGTGTAAGGTGATGTACTGTACAGTCGCTGTCTAAGAGCACAGCACTGAGACTCGCAGGCAATACATAGTCAATAAATATTGAATTCTCACTGAATATATAGCTTACTATTTTACTATGAAAAAAACAGTTTTAGTCCATAGTGGTTTTAAAATTAAATAACTTTATAAAAATAATGCATGAATATAGTTTAAAAATTCAAATGGCACTGTAAATCTTAAAATGGAAAACAGTAGTGCCCTCACCTTTCTTCTCTCTCTTTCTGTTTCTATCTTTAGACAGCTACTTCCCGCCGGTTTTCCTGACATTCACAGTTTTGCCAGTAATATTTGTGTGTGCGTGTGTTACTATTTCTTGATTTACTAGATTCAGACATTATGTTTTGATATCTAAATATGGAAAAATAAAGGCTTAACTTTCCCACATCACCTTTTTCTTTTTCTACTCCTTACAAAGTAAGTCATAAGTTTTGGTCAAATCAGTGGTCAGTTTTTAACAGTAGGATCACTGTGTACATAGCTCACTACTGAGTCACATAATGTAGGGTGATGATCAGCTCTTTTTCTTGTATATTCTTTGTTTTTCTTATGCTTGATAGGTACCTTACTTTAATATACCCATTCTTCCTAACCTCCTTTTTTGGCTGGAATATGTCTTCAAGTTATTGCTTCTTGAGTAAAAGCTCATGGGCTATACATTTTTCAAGCTCGTGCATGTCTGAAAATGTTTATTTGGTTGATAATTGGAATGGGATTTTCACTTGCCATCCTCCGTTTAGTACGTCAGAGGTATAGCCTCTCTGCAGGCACCCAAATGAACTCTTCCTCTGCTCAGCTGGCTCAGTTACTACTCTACCCTCAGCTTGCCTTTTTGAAAACTGTTAACTTTTATCTTTTTTTTTTTTCCGTCCCTCTGCTTCCTCTGCAGTGTTAAATTTTGGGAAGAAAAAGAAAGTGGCCAGGCTACCACATTAACTTAAAGTCTTACAGATTTTATTTTCATAGAAACATTAACACAAGGCCATTCCTAATTCTCTATAGTATATTATTGAGAGCTTTTTTAAACTTGCTGTTACTGTTTATCACCTTTTGGTGTGAACAGATGATTTTTTCCCTGTTATTATTATTATTATTTCACAGATTATTATTTTTTCACATCAAGTGGAAAGACTGCCATTACCTACAAGTGGGATTAAAATAAAAGCAGTCCTCCACAGGAATCTGGAAAATTTCACTTGTTTTATTTTTGAAAATACTTCCCATAAAAGGTAGTAGACAAGCTCAAGAGAGACGTTAAAGTAAGTTGTGGTTAACTGTATTTGTCTTACAGAAAGGAAAAAGTTGGCAAAGCAGCCTGAAGTAGTTTCTGTTGATGAACTAAAGAGTCTATTAACACTCACGAGGGAACAATTTTTAAATCATTTTGATGCTGTAATTCCTAAAAAGATTCTGATGAAGGCAGATGAAATTAAAATCTCCAATATGTTAAATGGTAAGTTTTTGTTACTTGAAACATTAGGTACTTTGTGTGTGTGACATTTATGACATTATTATATATTATTAAAACTAATGTATCATCCAAATCAGTACACCATATAGACTTCATAATGACATATATTTGTATTTGCAAGTCTGTATGTACAAATAATTAACTGTATTTTTCATCATTTAAGCATTAAAAGTCTTTCATAGCTTCTCTCATAAATATGTTCCCTGTAATTGGTTTTGGTCAGAGAGATGATAATATTACCCATTTAACTAAGGTTATTGTGAAGACTGAAATAAATTGATGCGTATAAAACAGAGAGAACGTAATATATGACAAAAAATTGTTAGCTGTCATTTGTAGTATTATTATTATTACTGTTTTTACTTGTCAGAACCAAAGTTGAATAGTAATGTAAAGTAAGTTGAAAGATGTTGGCTACATTCTAAGGTTTAAGGCTACTTGTCAGTAGAGGCTGTATTCAGTGAGAGAGCGCAGCTTCTCAGTTACAGCGTGGTCTCTGGAGCAAGACTAACCAAGTTGAATCTGTGATCTGCAACTTGCCTGCTGTGTGACCTTGGACATGGCTTCTAACCTCTCTGAGCCTCAGTAGTTATAGTCTTTAAGTTAGGAATGACATACATTGTCTGAGGATTAAATGAATTATTTATAAGTTACTTAGAGAGTTGACTGGTATGAAGTGAGTACTGTTATTTGTTGGTTAAATAAATAAGTAAGCATTTAGAGTGTAGAAGAATAGTCACAGAGTACTTGATTAGCAGCCCAGACACTTGCCACCAAAAGACAGGGTACATAGTGGTGTTTGACCTACTTCTAGTGACTTTTTCTTTATATTTCTAGTGAAAAGTCATGTCAACATTAACAAGCAGATTAATTATTAGTTTTCTTAAAATAACCAACATTTCTTTGGTCTTATTAAGAAAGGGGAAGTGGTATTATTTAGATGATCTTTGTTGGGGCTAGTCAACGTAGGCGTTAAAAATATTCTAAAATACTCAAGTCTAAATTATTTAATAAGTAAAGGGAAGATAACATGCAGTTGGTTTCTGTTTTTATTTTTATTTAAAAATTATTTTACCAAATCATTATTTTTCTCTTAAGTCCCCACTTTGTCAGGGTTGATGATAGTCAAACAGCTAATAGTCCATATATTAGAATAGTGTGGTAATTCAAAACAAATTTAAAAACCAAATAGCTTTGGGATCCTAAATGTAGTGCAGTTAGTAATTTTGACAGTATTACAGCAGTTTGGGTGTATGTATAGCTTACAAGAACGGAAGCTGTGCCTTTAGGTTTTTGATGAGACTCAGAATTATCAGCCATCTCAGTGTTAGTACACCACAGCTTATAGTTAGAAAGATGAATACACTCACATATATTATTGTTATAGGAGTAAAATAGCTTTTAATGTTAGTGACTTATTTGAAGATGTGTACATTAAGGCATCTTACATTAATGATAAGTGAAAATTATTCTAAAGTAACCTGTACCTGAGAACAGAATGTTAATTATTGTATTATTGTTTTTTGAGAACGAGGCAACCTCTTTTAAAGACACATTTTTCTGGACATTGTTGCTAATTCTTTTTCATTTATAAAAATCACATGGTATGTCCAATATATTCTCTATGTTGTAGTTCCCTTTTCATGTAGAACTAATTTCACAAAATATAACAGTTATATTTTTATTCCACATAAGTCCTCACAGTACTAATTTTTGAGTTCTGATTCGTAGCTTTTATTTTGAGATAGTAAAACAAGTTTACATGCCAATTTTTTTTTTTTTTTCATTTCTGAAAAGCTTTACTATGGCATTTTGCACATTTCAGGCTGTTTCAGAGGTACCTTAATAGATGCCTGAGGTAAGTTTTATACAATTAATTGAATGTGACTTTACACACATTTTCAGCATATATGTGTATATATATACACACACACACACACACATATATGTATGTATGTGTCTACATGTGTATATTTTTCTAAAGCAAAATTCAGCTTGTTAAATACCTTTTGGTACTATGTGTCTTTCTCATTAGAACCTAGTCCAGAGGAACCTGTTTCTTCATGTCTAATGGAAAATAATCCTCTGGAGTGGCCAGAAAGGCATGTTCTTCAAAATTTGGAAACTTTTGAAAAAGCTAAACAAAAAATGAGGTAATATTTAAATATCTTAGACACAAAGTACATTCTGTACAATCCTTATCAAAGTTTCAATTGTATTCTTCAAAGGAATAGAAAAAAATTACTAAGATTTGTATGGAAGCACAAGTGGCTTGATCCATAAATTCAAGATACAGAATGGCCAAAGCAGTATTGACAACATAGGGAAAGAACAGGAATATCACATTTCCAGACTTCAGTTTGTAGTGTAAAGCTACAGTAATCAAAACTAGACACCTCTCCAAAGAGATATGTGGAAAGCCAAAAGGCACATGAAAAAAATGTTCATTATTATTGATTTGCCGGGGAAATGCGAATCAAAACTATAATGAGATACCATCTCACACCTGTGAGAATGCCCTTATCACAAAATCCGGAAATAACTGGTGTTCTAAGGATTTGGAGGAAAAGGAACAGTCTTAAATTGTTGGTGGGAAAGTAGACTGGCCCAGCCCCAATGGAAAACACCTGTGGGGTTTCTCAAAATACTAAAAATCAGTCTACATTATGACCCAGATATTTCTAGGTCACTGTCTGAAGAATGCAAAAACACTAATTACAATAGCCACATTATAGAAGCAACCTAAGTACCCAAAGACAGATAAATGGGTTAAGTTGTGGTGTATGTACATAATGGAATTCTACTTAGCTTTTTAAAAAAGATGAATGTTTGCTATTTGCAACAACATGGATGAAACTGGAGGTGATGGTAGGTAAAATAATGGAAACAGAGAAAGACAAATACTGTATGGTTCTATTATTTAGAATAAACAAAACAAAGGGTGACAAAACCAAACCATCAACAGAAATGTACCAGAAGTGAAGCTCCAGGTCAGGAGTGGGAGGGTAGAGAGCACATGGGTGGAAGGGGCTCACTGGGACCTGGCTCAGCACTTTGGTGTTTTTGGTAGTGGGTGTGGTGTGGTGATGTTCCAGCTGCACAGGTGTGATCCTGTACCTCTTTATCACGTGCCTCACACCACTGTCACCTCAATAAAAAGAAAGAAGATATTTTAAAGAAGAAAGAAATTAGGGATCTAGCTAGAAAATAGAGTCTCTGCTTCAGAATTAATCTAGTTCCTACTCTGTCATTTTTAATAGCTCTCACTTTGGTTCTGTACTGTAGCTTATTATTAGTATCGATATCTGAAAAATAGGAATAATGATTGTTTTCCAGTCTTTGTAGTTGATTTTCACTTTACACCACACTTATTTTCAGGTTTTAACTTCATTTTGAGATAGGACCTATTCTGTTTTCTTATTAAGGAAATCTGTGAGGATTAAGAAAATATTGTGTGTAAAGTAGTTGAAGGTATAAAGTCATACAGATATTTCAAGTAATAATAATGATTCAGTCCTTTGCACAATGTCATAATCACAGTCAGAAGACGCCTTGGGGAGATTTCTCATTACTGTCATATTTCATAGCTGTGCTTCAAGTAATCTTTCTTGTTCCTTGGGTTGGTCTCTGTCCTTAAAAATTGCAATATTGGGCCCTCCCTGGTGGCATGGGCTTAGGATGCAGCACTGCGAAGCTCGCTGTGGCTGCTTCAGTGTGAGTTGGGTGCCCAGCCCTGGAGGGTGACCCACATGGTATGGCAGACCTCTCCTGGCCTGCCCACTGCTTCCCTCAGCAGTGTACTTCATCAACCTGCCTGTTCTGCTCCTCACTCTATCTTGACTCCTGCACCTCTGGGCTGTATCTCATTTCTGTATGATAAATAGATAAAAATCTTTAAAAAAAATTGCAGTACTGTGGGGTTTTGGAACATATAAGAGAGTTTAGATTCAAAATTTAAAATTGATAACTTCACACTAAATAATCCTACCATTATATATAAAGAATATAATTGTATTTCAGTTAAGTAGTAACATTGTTGACAAGGTCATTTTTATAATAGATTTTTAAAAATATATCTTGATACAAAATGACTTTCATGTATTTTACTTTATTTTCTTTCCTAAATGTTGCTTCTTCAGTTTTCCTTGTGTATTTTCCTGGTTCCTGCTCATGTCAGCTTTTCTTGACTATAGTGAGTCCTAATCTACTTTTAGTAAATCTGTATAACATTATTTTTCCAGAACTGGCTCATTACCTCTTTCATCTGAACAGTTGCTGGGCCATAAAGAGGGTCCACGGGATTCAGTCACTTTGTTAGATGCTAAAGAATTGCTGAAATTCTTTACCTCAGATGGTTTGCCAATAGGAGACCTCCAGCCTTTGCAGATTCAAAAAGGGTAAGTTATAGACTTAAATTTCCCTTTTTTAAAAAAAAAAGACCTCTTTTTGCAAACATTGTAGCTTACTTCCCCAGTTCTACGGTGCTGCATGCACTAGTTAGAATTCACAAGTTTTATTCCACTATTTTTAAGGTGACTTTCTCACATCTTACCTTCACCAAATGTTTTGGTATTGAATATGAGGGAAACAGGAATAATAAAAGCAATGTCAGTATATTCCCTATAGAAGCCACTAGCTTCTGCTTTGAATACAAAAGATAGTGCTTTTTAAGAAAAACTATCATTTGACTTGCACATTTTTTAACATTCTCTTTTCTGATATTTTGTAGTTTTGATTTACTTGTCATGACATTGTCAGTCATGCCTAATAGTTGCAAAAAGCACAGCTTTTCAACTGAAGAGAAAGGGTAGTGTAATGAAAATGCTTTTGAACTAACATTGCCAAGTAAAACTCCAGTGTCTACATGAATAATTTACAACAAATTTGACTCCTATGACAACTTTTACTGAGTGACTGGTTAATAAGTACTAGGTGTGGCTGAAGTTGACTTAACTGCAGGTAAAATTGTGACAGCAGATACTTGTGAAATTTGAATAAATTGCTTATTATCTCAATTTCTTTTTGATTATTAATCCTTTCTTTTGAAAATCTGCTAATGGACATAAAAAATTTTAGGTCACTTTTGCAAAGCTTCTTTTGGTAAATAGTGATTTTCAAGGTAAAAGTTGGAAAGAATTTACTTGAACATAGTTATGTAAAAGCATTTTTCCTTACTGGATGGTTTCACTCATAGCAGGAGTATAATGGACCAGGCGAGAAAATAACAAAAATAATGAACAACCATATACCAGAGACATTTTGAGGGGGTGGAGTGGGGAATGGGATCAAAAATGGGGGGGGAAAGGGGGGGAGAAATGCACGGGATTATGGTGATGGCACACGGGTGATTTGGTGATGGGAAACCCGTGGGGATTACAAAAAAATTAAAAAAATAAAAAAATAAAAAATAATAAAAATAAAGCATTTTTCCTTTATGTATATTTCTAACAGAGGTAGGAAGCAACTTTGAAAACTTGAGGAACACTGTAACTCATGAACTTAATGATATAACATTTTGTAATTTTTGTAATTTAGGAGTAAGTTTTCTTTGCTCATAGCTTTGAGAGAAGGATAACCTTTTTCTGTGGGAATCAAGAAAGTTAAGTCCCTACATTTTCGTCTATTATGTTTTGGATGATTGTCGTTCTTTAAGCGTGAATTGGCAGTCAGATAAGTTTGCCAAAACTAATTATGTGGGTTGTACTCTTTTGGACCAGAATGCCTTTCTAGATGTAATGTTGTAGGGTAGAAATACTGAATTCTTTTTGTAGGTTATAGGTGGTTTATCTAGGAAAGTGTGATAGAGTTCCTTGACATTAGTAAAGAATTTTATAGTTATCAAATATGTCTGTTAACATTAAAGTTGAAGAATGAGCTCTTGAGCAATGAATAAAGAATCTACATACTCTTATTAAATGTCTACCTGATCAGGGAGCCATCCAGAAAGCTGTGTTCAGTTAACTAAGTGGAGATGTAACTCCAATGTATTTGCCAAAGAAATGTTCACATATTGATGTTGAAAAATGATCGCTGATTCCTCAAAAAGAAGTCAAGACATCTCTATTCCCAGGCAGAAGAAAATGTGCCCTCTTCCCCATTTGTTGTAGTGGGAAGTCAGTACTTTTGTTACCATCAGTTTAGTTTTGACTTCTAATTATTCTGCCATAAAAAATAATTTAACTAGCATAAATACTAGAACACTCCACCAAAGGGGAAAACATCCTTTAGGTATAGTGTTGCTTCTTAATTTCACATTGCAAATCACTCGCCGTTCTTGAATTACGATTTCTCCAAATAGTTTTGTCACATTCTAATTTTGAAAACTTAAAAGTCCCAGAAAATTTAAGTGACATAATGTAAGGCCTAACCCTGCTTAATTTCCTTCACATGCTTCTGGTGTATTTATCTTTTATCCCTTATAAGATTTTGCTGTGGAAGAGGAAGTCAGATTTACAGTGTTAGATACTTAATTGAGCTATCTCTTTGTCACTTAAACCTTAAATACAATGAAAAACTTTTTGTTTCAGGGAAAAGACTTTTGTTCTGACACCAGAACTTAGTCCTCGGAAACTTCGGGTTTTACCTTTTGAAAAAGCTTCGGAATGTCACTATCATGGAATTGAGTAAGTTTTTTTCTTTACATTTTGCTCTCTTGCATGTTGTCGTTGTAGTTCAATGTGACTATGAGGGGTGACTAACAAAATGATAGAAATTGACATATAAAGACAAAAAAGAAAAAACAAAGCAACACATACACAAACTCACCTTTCATCTGGCAAGAAAGAATATAGGGGAGGAATGAGGTATAGAGTTACAGATTTTAGGAAGAGGAAGAACATTTTTGTTTCTGAAATAGTTATATAAGTATATTGTAATGAGACCAAATTTGAAAGGTGGTTTAAGTCCCAAATATGACTGTTGTGATGACAGGGAGGTTCGTGTTTTATTTTTGAAGCAGTGAAAAACCTTTATATTAAGGTGTGAAAACGTATGTTTTTAGGTTTGTGTCATTGGTGAAACCTTATTGTTTTTTTGATAAATTGTATTGAAGTATTTCAGGCAAGAGATGTTGAGGGACTAAAATAGCATGAAGGCAATGAAAATAGGAAGGGGGATACAAACTTAAAAGCTAGGTAAAGAACTTATAAAATGAATTAGTTGTTGGAAATGAGAAAAAGAGGTAAGAATTTCTTTGGTGTTTCTTGCTGCGGTACATAGAGTAAGTGATGATGCAATTTAGAGAAACAGGAGCACCCAGAGGTCATTCCAAAGGTATTTAGAATCCTTGTTGTATTTAAGTAGGATTTCATTTAAAGAATCTTCACATAAAGTTTGACACTACATTCAAAATGTTCAGTTACTTAATTTTCAATAGCAAATTATCTTCCAATAAAATAGGATGTAAGATGTTCTACATGTTCTAGTCAATGAATTAAAACAAGGAAAACTGAAGAATTTAAGAGTTATATGTAATGAAAAGGAGACCTAAGAATATTTTGGGCTTGGTTTTTTTTTTTTGGTTATTTTTGTTTTGCAGAGAAGATATTTGAAATGCTATTAGAAGTAGTAGGAGTTGTAAAGTGACCAGTAATGAACTACATATCAAAATCATAATTTCCCTTTAAAATAGTGACTTTCAATTTTAAGCACAGTGAAAAAGTATTGGGTAAAGACGTAAGTACTGGAAGTAATCTTAGCAGAAAAAGTAGAATGGAAAAAAATTACAAATGTTTATAATATTTGATTGCTATAACTTAATGAAAATATTAGTGATGTACACTGACAGATTTTGTGAAACAGTTTTTATAGTTAGTTAAAATGAGAAAGATTGAAAATAATATCCAAGCTTTAGGGGCTTGGTTAAATAAATTAAGTAGGTTCATAAAATAAAATTCTGTGTTGCCATAGAATATTGGTAAGTATATAAAACAATCAAAACTCTCAGACATTGTTGAGAATTTGAAATGTTCCATCTGTTTTAGAAAAGGATCTGGCAGATTCTTGTAAACCTAAACATGGCTCAGCAATTCTAATACTGGGTATTTGCCTAAAAGAAATGAAAAAACAACTCCACACAAATACTTTATAAGAATGTGTAGTGTGATTTTAATCATAAAAGCTCCAAACTGGAAACAGCTTTGTACATCAATAGGAGAATAAACAAATTGGTGTATCTCTACAAAGCAAAACTCAGTAGTATCAAGAAACAACAAATTGCAACATTAAACGTCTGTCTGAGTGTGGGGAAAAAAAAACAAAAACATTTGCAATAAGAATCTGAGGACTTTAAATGAGCAATAGGAACTAAAACATGCAATAGTGAATCATCTTTGAAGAAATGCAAAATGAATACTAATTTAAATCTAAGTGGTTCAGATAAGACTATCAAATTGTTTTGTTAGCAGTTGGCAGCTCAGAGTAACTACTGAATCATAAAGAGATAAGAAATGCCACTTGTTTAGGCTTTTCATTTCTGATATTTAAGGAAATAACTTCTTGTTTGAGAAAGTAATGTTTTTCTTTAACATCAAAAGTCAGGTATTTCCCAAGTAGTCTTGATTTGCTAAATAAAATCTTTATTTAGCTCTGTATACTTTGTGTAATGATTACAAATATTTCTTCATATCTGTTTTCAATTTTCCTTAAAGTTATTTGGAACTTCTTTAGATAGATAGATAGATAGATAGATAGATAGATAGATAGATAGATAGATAGATAGATAGATCGATAGATAGATATTTGGAACTTCTTTAGATAGATAGATATAGATATAGATATAGATATAGAGATATAAAATTTGGACTGTTTCCAGTTTGGGGCTTTTATATATAATTTTTTTACTTCTTCCCCTTTTGATTTTTATTAAAGACCTAGAAATTAAACATTTTAGAAAAGTTTATAATAAAAAACAGCAATTCATTTCATTATTTCCAAGTTGCAGTTTTACTTTTTTCAAAAGCAAGTTTTTGTTTGCTTTTAATTTTTCTACCTCTCTATTCTAAACAGTACTCTCCTATCAATTTTTAAAAATTTCTCCATGTAGAATGTGTACAAGACAATAATGAATACCACTAGCATATTAGTAATAGCTACATGGCAAAATATTGACCCCATGAATGAAATACGTTTTTCTTTTCTTCAGCCCTGAAGCACTGATTTAAATGAAATAATCTGTAACTTTTCTAACTGATGACAGACATATCCATTATATATTTTTTAATTATTTTCACCAATTATTTTCAGTTGTTTTGATTCTAATGCCCCTGTACATTCCCTCTGTTTTTAGTTTACTACAGAAAATATTAATAGTACATAAAGTATGTAGAATTGTAAAGGATAATATTTTTCATGATCATCTGTCACAATACTAAGAGTTACTTGAGTACTATTTCCTGGTAAGCCTAAAGCTACATAACACTTTAGATTCATTTATGCAATGGAATATTATGAGAGTCCCATTTATCATAGAGGGATAACTTGACTTACCTAAGCCTATAAGCCGTTAAGCAAATCTAGCCGTGGGTCTGTTTTCTTCATTACATGAGAATTATGCTCATTAAGTTGGGGGCATTGAGATCAGACTAAGGAAAATGCAAGAGGTGAGCAGAGCAAATACGGAAACATGCTTTTGTCAAGATTTGGCTGTGTAGTGTGGGGTCTGCTTATAATCAATACCGAATGTGGAGTAGAAGCAATCTTAGGTGCAATTTTAAAGTTAATAGGAAACTGCAAAGAAAGTTCTCTCTTCCTGTGTTGCTCTAAACCTTTAGAGTTGTCTGGTTTTTCCTCTATTCTAATGTAAGGAATATTTGGCAAAAATATAGGACTCATCAAATAAGTGTTTTCTTCAAGCAAAGTAAAATACATCTACTGGTGGCTTAATTTCTTTTTTCCTCCACTTATCTGTCCTATCCTGGAATGAAGGATACTAGTGACTGTAAGATGCACTATATTTTTCCTCAACACAAATTAAACTTTTCTGTCAAACTGTGATAATCGGTTGGTCACACCAGTCTCTGGTGGCTTTGAAATTTCTTTCATCTATTCCAAGAGACTTGGCAGTCTCACCAGCCTTCGGTGGCATTGCTTGGTGTGATAGGCAGTAAGTATCTTGCCTTTTTTTATGTTTGTAATACAAAATAGCTTCATAATCTCATAGGCATTTTTTCTTGCCTTTGGATGTACAGAACGTTAAGTTATATATTTTGCAAGAAAATAGGAACTGTAGTCACTCATCCAACAATGCACATTAACTACACTAGTATGAAATTTATCCATGCTACTTTGCCTCTGCTGCTTTAATTGTAGAGAAACCCGTTTCAAGGACAGATCACAGTATAATTGAAAACATTTTAAATAGTAATCAAAGTCAACAGGCACAGTGCTCATAATTCATTTGAAGGGGTAGCATTATGAACAGCTGTTATCAAGAGATTAAAACTAGAAGGAAAATTCTGCATCTTTGAATCTGAATCTTGAAGTAGGGAAAATAGTAATTTAAAGTCAAAATATACATTTTTTTTTTCCCTCAGAAATTCCCATAGAATGATCAGGCATGCCATTGCCTCTTACCTAAAACTTTTCTTCACATTCATAATTCTTAGTTTCACTCTAGATTCTATCAATTGCCTGCTACAGACATAGGACTTATCAGTAATCCTTAGGGTTGCTGCTGATTTTTTAAAGATTTATTTGTGCATACAAAACTGGGGTACAGGCCAGAGGTGCAGGGGCAGTGAGAGGATTGACCAGAGACAGAGTGGGGAGCAGAACGGGCAGACTGATGAAGTACACTGCTGAGGGGAGCAGCGGGCAGGCAGGAGAGGTCTGTCGAGCCATGTGGTCACCTCTGGGGCAGGCGGGGATCGAACTCATGCGGAAGTGGCTTTAGCTTCTCAGTGCAGTGCTTTAATCCGCTGCGCCATCAGGGAGGACCCTGCTGCTGATTTTTAATATTTGTTTCATTAAACATATTAAGTATATTTGTTTCATTAAACAACAGACTAAAAAAAAAAATAACAAGAGACTGGAGACACCTAGGTCCCAGTGACTGCTCTGCCACCAGTTAACATTCTGACTTAGGGTTCCCACTTGCTCCCCTGTTAAATTAACCTTATTGGATTAGAGCAGGGATTTTTTTTTTTTTCTTCTTTTAGTTCGAGGTATACTTTTAGAAACTCCTTGAAAACTATTTAAAAAAAAATCCAAAAATATCGGTTCTCAACCTGGTCCTAAAGTCAGAAGCTGGGCATGTAATTCTGAAAAACTGCAGATTATCCTAGTATCCAGCCAGGGTTTATCCCTGAATAAGGTCATTCTTACACTTTACAGAAGAGAGAGTATAAGGAAATGGTTGAAGTTTGCTCTGAAGTCTCCATGTTTAAATCCTAGTTATTTCCACATTGTCAGCAAATGAAAAGAGGTGCTATGGTTAGAAAGTAAACCTGATGATGATGTTAACGATGATGCTGATTTGGAAAGCTCACATGTGCACATTCAAAAAACCTGCACTGTAACTCTTTGAGATAAGTGCTATAAATTGTATTTTACAGACAAGGCAATAGAAACATAAAGTTTAATGATTTGTTCAAACTCACACAACTAGTGTTGGGACCAAATTTAAGTCCAGGAAATCTGGCTCCTTGGCCTGTATGCTTTGAAATTAAGTGTGTGTCTTGAAGAAAAAAATAGTCCTGAAAAACCTCCATCAGATGTTAGGTAATGATGTGTTCTGCAGGAGTTGAGTTTGCAATAAAGATCTGATTTTATAGAGAGCATCTTATTTTAAAACTTTAAAAGTAGAGATAATAGAGAAAAGTGTTTATTTTTTTAGTCCTGCCATCACATGTGTGAAACCACGTGTGTTTCCTTAGTGAGGTTGTAGAAAGGGAAGAAAGTGAAGTGTTTTCTAAGGTTACATAGCCTCTAGGTGATTTCCCTTTCATTCCAATTTGTTTTATATAACAACACAGGATTTAAATCCAGAAGCAGTTCACTGAGCTAACATCTCACTGACTTCTTGAGTCAGGTTTAGCTAGAAACCCACTGCATAGAGACAGCCGATGTGTTTGAAGGAAAATCTTGTCAATCAGTCAATAACGTGGGAAGTAAATTTCACAGAAGAAATTTGCAAAGTTCTGAGCTGAATTTGGTGAGTCAGTTTAGCATGCCTTTATATACTTTTAATCTTTGTGTTGAAAGTAAACTTGCCTTTTCTAACAGAAGTGAGCATTTCACATTGTTACATATCAGCCGGGCTGAGAAATCAGAGGTTGATAGAGTTTTAAAATGTATTAAAGCAGGAACTGTGTTATTTTGAAAATAAGCCAGAGGATTAGTTTAATCTGTGCCTAGAAACAGTCAAAAAGGAATCAGGGTGTACTTCATATTTTTTAATCTTTTGCCTTGTCATCTAGCAGCCTGGGAAAAACTGAACTTGTGGGAGAAGTTGGCTATTCATTCAACCTGCCAACTATTACTGGGAACCTTTAAGTATATATTTTGCTTTTTTCTCATTGGCAGGGAAAAGCTCATCGCTGTCCTGCAAACTTTGATTGTAATGATCTTTCTTTCTCTCTTTTAGATATTGCTTGGATGACCGGAAAGCATTAGAAAGAGATGGGGGATTTTCTGAACTTCAGTCTCGCCTCATTCGTTATGAAACGCAAACCACTTGCACCAGAGAAACTTTTCCTGTGCCTGCCGTATTGAGCCCTCTTCAGTCTCCTGCAGTCTTGTCAGAGCCGGGTAGTGTCCCTGATGGAGAAGCTCTACAAAGTGAACTCAGAACTGAAGGGTCCCGATTAAAAAGGAGATCAAAAGATCTGAACGGCATTTATCCTAGCAAAAGGTGATATATTAAGTGCATAAAAATAATATCTTGACAATAGTACTTTTATGGGTAGGGTGAGTTTTGGGGGGTTGTTCATATTAAATGGCTTTAATATTTTAAGTTGCCCTCTGCATATATGTTAGATTAAATCCTTCATATCAGGAATATTGTTTGTACTGTGAGCAGTTGATGACTATGCTTATAAAAAGAAATGACTTGGAAAAAACACACTGTTTCTTGCTTTATATGCTGATATTATAGTCCATTAACTCAGGTGGCTGGAGCATATTTAAGCTAAGGAACACTAGACAGCTTATCCAGTAGAGTGGCCTGCTCTGTCTAAGAGGGTGGTGGGGGTGGCAGTTCTTCTCAGTGCTCCCTTTCCTCCTCCTGTGTGTCCTGCCTACAGTGGCCCCTTGAGCAAGAAGGTCAGTGAGGCGCCACTTAAGAACCATGTGTTTCATATAAAATACAGTGTGAAGTCCTACATAGTAAAAATACATTATGTAAAGCTTTCCTACATGCTTTTTTCTGCCAGTGAAATTTGTAAATTCTTGATCGTAAATTAACTTTGTAAGAAAAAGACTAATTCCTAGTAAATATACAAATCTTTAGAACCTTTACAAAATTTAGGTTTTTGGTATCGAAAGCAAGCCTTAAATTTTCATTGTATTTAAAACTTTTAAAATGAAATATGTCATATCAAAACTTTAAAATCTCTTGAACAGTTAAAAATACTAAAATACTCTTACCCTGATATGGACTAACTAAATTATTTCATGAAGTCTTTACAAAATTCATGTATTTTGTATTTTGTGACATTATTTCTTATGTCTGAGCTGTGATTGAAATATGATAAAGATCTTCCTGAAAAAAGTGCACTGTGAGCTATGGGTTAGCAGAGTGGAGGCTGGAAGACCCTATTTTGTAAAAGGAAAAATTAATATCTTCAGGGAAGCCTATGTAAGCATTTCAGAGAGAGAAAATCAAGAGTCAGTTCGATAGTTTTACTTGTATTTAACTATCATTTATTTTGAACAGGTGGGTTTGGGGTATAATAAGTGTGGGTGGTCGTTTCTTCATGAAATTATCTAACTGAAAAGTGTACATGCTTAGCAGATGAGTATTGGAACTGTAGGTGGCAATAGCTGTGGGCCAGAGTTGATTTGAGAAATTACAAGTTGGTGGGAGGGATGCAGTAATATTGTTTGTTACTTCCTTTCTTAGCTGGAATTTTGGGTACTCACCACCTTCTCCATCTCCTCATTTATCTGAAGAACTACAGAAGCAACTTTATTATAGTGATGGCTTGTTTAAGGCATACTAGCAAGAAAATTTGTTCTTCTTCAATTATGTTTCAGTGACTCTTAGTTGTAATTCAGGATGAATCTCCTTGTTGATTTGCCTAATTTACATTTTTGATATATTCCTCATGGTAGACTTGTGAAATCAGAAAGTCTGGACTCCATTCTTCCTCAGACAAGTGGCAGTGTAAAGCCTCGCCATGCAGGGACATCCAGAAGGTCACAGGCAGAGCAGTCGCTACCTAAGCTTTGTCCGGTTCTTAGTGCTGAAACTCCCAAGGTCATTCCAAAAGCCAGCTTAAGACAAAAAAATGTACCCGAAGCAAAAACATCGAGACAAATAAAGGAATCAAGATCACAGAAGCACACACGGGTAAAAATTTATTTTCCATTTCTTAATTCCATAAAAGAAGAAAGTCCTTTTTTGATGCATTTGAAATGTATATGTAGAAATGTTAGGAATGAAATAAGACAGCATGTAGGCCCTCCTTGGTGGCGCAACGGGTTAGGACGCAGCACTGCAAACTAGCCGCAGCTGCTTCAGTGTGAGTTCAGTCCCCCTCCTGGAGGTGATAAACATCGTGCCCAGTCCTTTCCTGTCTCACCCACTGCTCCCCTTAGCAGTGTACTTCGCTATTCTGCCTGTTCTGCTCCCCACTCTGTCTGTGGTGAATCCTCTCACCGCCCCTGCACCTCTGGCCTGTATTCCAGCTCTATATGCATAAATAAATAAATCTTTAAAAAAATCAATTTCCTTTAAAAAAAAAAGAAAGAAAATGGTATCTATAATTTGTTTTAAAGTAATCTGGGGGGATTATATATAAATTGATCATCCTTGGAGCTGGTTAATAGGTATATTCAGGTAAGGGTTTGTTACAAAATCAAATTCATTCTACTTTTCTATGTCTGATTTTTTTTCCCATAAAAAAAAAAACCCAAATACACATTTATATTATGACACTGCTGTGCATAACTTTTACATTCAGAATTCAGTTCACAAGTCAGCAATTGAATTCTTCTCTTTAATATATTGCACTCATTTCCTGTTAACAGATATTGTCCCAGGACACGTTTAAGCACATAAATTGTACAGGTCCCTTCTCAATTGTTTTGTCTTAATGAGCTTCTTTCTTTAGTACAGCTAAGTGATTGTGTAATTTACAGAATCGAGCTCTAAAGCTGAAATGAAGTGTTTTTACCTTTTGTAAGAAATAGTCATATGTTATGTTCTATTCCAGATATTGAATGAAGTCGTTACTAAAACCCTGGAGAAACACAGTATTCCTGAGGCTCATGAATGTTTCACTGCCTGCAGCCAGCGTCTCTTTGAGATCTCGAAGTTCTATTTAAAGGTATTTTGTCTTCTCTACTCAGGATAAAAGCTATATCATGTTTAATGTTCTTGTTTGACCCAAAATTATTTTGAGTATTTTTTTTTTTTAAAGATTTATTTATTTTGTGCATACAGAACTGGGGTACAGGCCAGAGACTCAGGGGTGGTGAACGACTTCACCAGAGACAGAGTGGGGAGCAGAACAGGCAGATCAACGAAGTACACTGCTGAGGGGAGCAGTGGGTGGGTCAGGAGAGGTCTGCCACGCCATGTGGTCACCTCCGGGGCAAGCGGGAATCAGACTCATGCAGAAGTGGTTTCAGCTTCTTAGTGCAGTGCTTTAACCCGCTGCACCACCAGGGAGGGCCTATTTTGAGTATTTTTATACTGCTAGCTTTATCACTTGTGGCTAGATTTTTCAAAAAATGGAGATAGAAAAATTTGAGTAAACTTTTATATTTGATGTTAGTCATCATATAGAGAAAGTTGCATTTTAACTAGTATCTTCAGTATTTTCCTAAGTTGATAATAATTTCAAAGCCTGTATAACTAATTAGTAATTTTACTATATAGTGAAAAGATTACTAGATTTTCACACCAACCCATATCTAATTTTGGATACATATCACTTAGTTGTAAGACAACGAGCAGATCACATGAAATTTTTCTAAAACTTTGTGATTGATTATTTGAAGCCTCAAGAGTTTCTGATTTGACTCTCATTTATATGTGGATTTCTGCTTAAAAATCATAAAATGATCACATGCATTTAGTTCCTCCTGTTTTCAAAGATCTCTTAAGAAAAACATCAAACACAATGAAAAGAGGAAGGAAAAGTATAGACATGCTTACAGTACATTGATGAATCAAAAAATAACCACATGGAAGCATGGAACAGCAGAGTGAAAGAAGTTCCAGCCCTGATGCTTGCCGAGTAGACTTCCCGTGAGAGTCAGACCACTTCTGATACCGTCTGCTCAGGATTGGACACCCCGGGTTTCATGGGAAACAGGGACAAGGTGTCAGGTGGCAAAGAGGGGTGCTAAACAAAATCTACAGACTGAAATGCTCTGAGTGTCCTTTCCCCATTTCTTTCCCCACCCTTCTGTGACAACACAGGACATAGTCACTGGGAAAAATAAAAAAGCGGAGGCCACAGTCAAAAAGCTCTAGTCTCCTCGTTACCCTGTCTTTTAAGGTCACCAGAGAACAAGCTCTACATAGATAGAGCTTCTAAAAAGGTTTTTAGTATTTCATTTTTTGGGGACTGGACAGATAAAGAAAAACTTCTAATACAAGAGCCACCAAAACCTAAAGGAGTAAAGGGAGCTCTGAAGGAACAGAATGCTGTGGAAACTTCGTGAGCACTATAATTTTCTCAGAAAAAAGATAATTTCACCCATGGAATTGGAAAAGGATGCTCTCTTTAAAAACTATGTAGAACATGAATGCTTCTTAAAATTGATGTAAAAGCAATTCAGCAGAAAGACTGAACAGGTGAATTAAGAAATTAAAACCAAATGACAAAAACATTCAGTACACCATAAGAAAATGGGAGGATTAATCCAGAAGATCTCTACTTTGTTAATAATAGGAGGTGCAAAAAATAGAGAATAGAGGAGAGAAGCTTACTAAAAATATAACAAAGTCTTCCAGAACTGAAGCACATAGGCCCTTGCTAAAAAAGACACAGCATGTCCAGCTCAGTGAATGGACAGTCCAGCAATAAGTAACGCCATTTTCCAGCCCTGGTGTGGAGAGAGCTTTCCTTAATGCTTCCCAGGGGAGCAACTAGTTCACAAATATAGAATCAAGAATTAGCATGTCATTGGATTTCTCCACAGTAAGGAGCTCTGTACACTAGGATGTTTGCTCAAGTTTTGAGGGAAAGTGATTTATCCAGGACTTCATAACTGAGCCAGAATCCAGATAGATATGAGGATTCAATAAAGGTACTTTCAGACATGGAAAGTCTGAAAGTTTGTCATTTATGAACCCTTTTGAAGAATCTGTGAGAAAATTAAGATTAGCAGAAGAGACTGAGTCAAGAAGTAAAACAAGAATAATACCTAACAGGAGCTTAGACTAAGCTGGGGTAGGTTTTGGGGAAACGATCTCCAAATGAAAAAACAACTAAAAAAAAAATATTATCCAGTACATTTTAAGTATTTGCAAAAACTTTGTTGAACCTTTAATCAGTCTTTTATAGTGTTTGGTGGGAATGGAAGGTTGAAGAATTATATACATGGAAAAGTAAGCAAATGTGGTTTAACTACAAGATAAACATAACACTTAGCTGAAACATAAATTAAAACCACAGAACATTCTTCACCTCAGGATTGAACTCTATCTACGTATAATAATGCAAAGACTGTTCATTTACTGATCAAAAATTGTGGTGCAATTTTATTGAGAGGAAGAGAAAGGAGGTAGATTGAGAGGAAGGGAAGGGAGGTGGAGGAGTCAGAGACCTCCTCAGTTGGTATGTTAAAACTGATACCAGTGTTCACTGTCTAAAATTGTTAAATCACAAAGGAGCAGTAAATGCATATTATTTAGAAATATGAAGGTGTATAAATAAGAAGCACCTACAAGAACTGCCTTTATGGAATATAACTTGAAGGTGCAGGAGAGGACTGCTTTTGTTAAAAATCATTTTTTAAAATACTTTGTAATTATTATATAATCATTAATTTTTTTAAAAGTCAGGTATTTGTTTCCTATGTCATCCTTTCTTTGGTGGAGTGAAATATTTAAAAAGAAGAGACAGAAAAGAGATATTTATCTGTAATGTGAATGCAAATTATATATTCTTAATATGAAACATCAGTAGATCTCATTGTTGTCAGGGTTGGGCATAGATTTCTGCAGTGTTACTTGGAAATGTGGGGTTAGCATGACATGGACTCATGTCTGTGTGCTTGTGTTTTGGTTAGAGTATGTTGGTATTCCAGGATCAAGCAAAATTAAAAGCTGTTGCTTTGATTGTAATACAGCAAGTCCTCAAGTAATGTCTTTTCATATATGATGTTTCTTTGTGATGTTGGTGAAAAAATAAAGATCATGGTTGGTGTTGAACAGTGTCACGTTAACTGAGGAACTGTTATGTGTTATTTTGTTTAAAGTCATAATTTACAAGACTCTACTGACGTGTCAGGGGAGGACTCACTGTGCTTCCCTGATCACAGGGACACTGGAGAGTGAGACAGGGTAAACTGAGACTGGTTTCAGAATGACTTGCTCTCTGTATGTAGGAATTGTAAAATTCTGTCTTTTGCTATGTTTAGGATCTTAAAACTTCAAGGGGTTTATTTGAAGAAATGAAGAAAACAGCAAACAAAAATGTTAAACAGGTAAGTTATTCTCAAAAAACTATATTCTATTTATCTCAGGGTAATTGTGATAATGTTATAGATGCGGTAAGAATTAGTGAGTGGTCTTTTCAACTCTGTCCCTGTGAATACTCTTTAAAGTACTTAATTTCAGACTTAATCAAGTAGAATATTTAATAGTATTAAGAGGTTGCTTTGTTAACCACAGCTTTTCTAAAATAATGCTAAGAAAGAAAAATAATCCAAAGAACTGGAAAAATTAATCCATCTAGTTGTTTCAACATTTGGCTTAATTCCTTTCTAGTAACTCTTTAAAGACATATAATCAAATAAAGGTGAAAAAATAGAGCAGAATCTTCATTTTGACTGGTGAGGACAGTTAACTATATTCTGCAGTGGAAATTTAGCAAAAAGTATTCAGTTAGAAAATAAAATGTGTTTTAAGATATTGATGTTATTTTTTATTTATAATTTTTTATCATTTTGTTGAGTTTTAACAGTATCTTTTTCACTTGTGTTTTTACTAGAAATACACCATAATTTTGTTTTTCCCCCTAGGTGATTGAATGGGTGTTAGAAAAGACAAGAAAGTAATAACACAGAAAATGGAATCATTCTCCTTGGACTGTTAAAAATGTGAAAAGCTGTTCTTTACAACTTCCTTATTTTAAAGATTATAAACATTTCAAATTTTAACCAAAGAATAGGCATTGCATTTTTAAACAGTTTCATAAATATTTTTATATAGTCTTGACAGTGCACAGTTAATGTATTTTTACCTATTGTATAATTCTGTAATTTTACTACATTTTCATTTTTAAAGTTAATCTTTTAATGTATATTTTAAAATATTACAACTGGTCATTTAATTATTTCAATAAATAGAAAAAGACATTTCTCTGGTAAGTGTTTGTATTGTTAGGCCTGTTTAAGTTACAGATTCTCAATAAGGCATCTCAAATAGTGGATAAACTTGTCTCAAAGAGTGGATAACCTTGTGTAATGCTATTTGAAATTTAGGATATGCATATTATATTTCAGTTAACCTTATCAATAACAAATGCCAAAACATAAAAAATGTAAAGAGGCTTAACTCACTTTTTTTTTTTTTTAAGGTTTGTTCATTTATGTGTAGAAGAACCGGGTGTAGGCTAGAGGTGAGGCGGGCAGGGGCTCACCAGAGACAGAGTGGGGAGCAGAACAGATGGATCTACAGAACTTGGGTTTACTGTTGAGGGAAGCAGTGAACAAGACTGGGGAGGACTCTGAGTGGTGAGGACAGTAAACTACATTCTGCTCAATAAGAATAACTATATTCTGTTATGCTCTCTGTGGGTCAGCTGACCAGAGATCAAACTCGGGTCACTGTGGTGATAATGCTGAGACTTTACCCCTAAGCCTCCAGGGAGGCCCTTAAATCACCTTTAAAAGGACATAAAATAGCCGTTTTTTTAAAATGGGGGGAAATGGAAAAATTACTTTATGTCAAGACTTAAAACTACAGCAATTGAAACAATTTGGCACTGAAATACGAGTAAGTATACAAGAGTCTCCCCCTTACCTACTGTTTTGATTCCCTGGTTTCAGATACCAGTGTTCCACCAAGATCTGAAAGCAATGCTTGCAGTAAGATACTTTGAGAGGGGAGAGACCACATTTGCATAATTTTTATTACAGTGTATTGTTACATTTGTATATTTGTCCCATTGTATTATTATTAATCTCTTAAAATGCCTATATTATAAATTAAACTTTTATCATAGCTTCATATGAAAGGCAAAAATAGAGTATGTATAGATTCTGCTGTGGCCCATGATTTCAGACATCCACTAGCTCTCTTAGCACACATCTGCCAAGGACAGGCAAGACTATACAGATTACAGTACAGATTAACAGTATCGATGAGCAGTACAGATTACAGTATGGATTACAGTATGGATTACAGTATGGATTAACAGTGGGGAACAGAGTGAAAATTGAGGAGTATACCTGCACACCATGCATTCCATTGGAGAAAAGTTTTTTTCAAGAAATGGAGTTTGAATAAATAGATATCCTTCCCTGTGGTAAAAATAAATGAACCTCAGCTGTGACCTCACACCAGGTATAAATATTAATTTGATATGAATTATAAATTTAGGTGTAAGCTCTAAAACCATAAAACTTTTAGCAGAAAATATAGAAAAATATGCATACAGATAAACAAAGACTTATTAGGGCATTAAAGTACAAAGTATAAATTTAAAAAAGAACAACTGTACTTAATAATTTAAAAGTTTCACTTTTGAATAGACAACATTAAGAACAAGAAAAATGTCAAGACTTAGACACTTAGTTCAATAACAGATTTTTATCTAACCATATAAAGATCTCTTAAAACATAAGATATAACCCAGATTTTTCTGAATGAACAGAACATTTGGGAAAACATTTTACTAAAAGGATATAAGAATGGCAAACACATGAAAAGATCTTCAGCATTATCAGTCAAGGAAATGCAAACTCAACAGTAATTAGAAAGGAGGCATCTACTAGAATGAATAAAATTTAAATCCAGCAGGGCCATGTCTTGGTGAGTAGGCAGAGCATTTGGAAATTTCAGGCACTGCTGTTGGAAATGGAAAATGCTATTTCACTGTGGAAAAATAACCATTTTTTAAATAAAAATTATATCTGCATTTGGCAAGATAATTTAGCCATTGCACTATTTGCCCAAGAGTAAATCAGAACATATGTCTTTTCAAAGAATCGAACCTAGATTCTTAGACTAGCTTAATCCTTTAGAACCCCAAACTGGAAACAACCCAAATGTCCAATTCATCGAGCAGAATGAGTAATTATAAGATATCTATGCAGTGAAATACTGCTCATCAATATAAAGGAACAAATTATTAGCTATGCAACAATGTGAATGACTGTCAAAACATGTTAAGAGGAAAATGCCAGAAATGTGAAATTCTAGGAGAGTTAAATATGGAGGCTTACCAAGCAGAGATGATTTCCTAGGGTCAGATGTTGAAGTGACTGAGTAGAAGGTGCCCCCCCCCAAAAAAACTTTGTGCTGCTCTAAATATGTTCTGTGTGCTGATGCAATCCGGTGACTTTTATCAAAACCTACCAAACTGTATACTTAAAATCATCACATGCTGTACAGCGTGGGCCCTAGTGTTCTCTGAGGCATTTAACTCAATGAAATCATCCTGCCTTGATTTCTTTTTTAAACTCCTTTGCTTATCAAAATCCAAGGATACCAAATTCAAATGTAGGACATGCTTAATCGCAGCCTCCTTTGAGTGCATGCTATTAAATTGAATTTAACCGGCTGACCTGTCTGTTGCTGTTCTGAATATTTAATCCAGCCTGAGAAGAGCTCCGAGGACTGGGGGGTGCCCCCCGCTGCTCCAAGACCATGTCCACAGGAGGCCTGTCCTCAGTGGACGCATGTTCTCACTCCTGTCTCCTGTTCCCAGTGGGCATCCTTACTTTATGCCAGCCTCCACCTCTGCCCTACTCTTCATGCTGTGATGCCATCTGAGCAGTAGTCTCTGTAAGGAGTCTTCTACTCCTCCAAGAAAAGGCCTTATTTGTGTCCAAGGGGATAATGAATAAAGAATAAAAGGCCAAAATAGAGGTTCCTATTGCTTTTCTGTCAGACAAATGTGATTCCATATTATCCTTGGACATGGTTTAGTCATGTTAATGAGGTATTAGACTTGCTCCCCCTTGTGAAATCAAATTTAGTGTGATTTAGAAGACCACAGGTGACAGGTAATTAATTTCCAATCATATATTCAAACAGTTGTATTATTCAAGACTTTGTAAACCATATAAAAATATTGCTTACTGTTATCAGAACATTATAAAAAGAAAATTTTTTTTTTTTAAAAATAGATGTACATTCAAGAAGTTCGTTAAATATGGAGAGACATTCAGGTCATACCCATGATCCTGGTTCCATATCCCATATTAACTGAGAATAATGAGACCCTTAAAAAAGAGAGACTTTTCCAGGCATTTTTTTATACAGGAATGAACATTCTCCATGTATCTCTGTTTCTCAACACTCTTACAAGAATGTATACCCATTCCCTTTTGCTATCATAAGGTAAAGTTGATAAACAATGGTCATAGGCCAAGCTCTCTAGAAAAGGAAACCTCGGGCAAAGGATTAAGTGCTGATGCTTTATTTGGGAGGTCTGATTCCAGGCACCAATTGTGAAGAGTGAAAGGGAGAAAGATGGGGGAGGCAGGAAAGCAAGACTGTGATACAATTCTCCACTGGCCACTGCTTTATAAGGCCCAAAGAGAGGTCTGGTCACCCAGCAGGTGAAAACAGGCATCAGTATGTCTATATGTACAGCTTGCAGAACTTGTATTTAGAGATTTTTCCCATGTGAGCATGTATAGTGGACAAACACATCCCCTTAACTTTCCTACAGTCACAGATGATTCTAACGTATTGGCGGTCCAGGATTGATTTAACTGTCGACAGTCACATTGCCTTTTAGGTTTGTGTTGCAAATAGTGCTGCAAAGAAGATCCTTATACGTTAGTCTTGTGCATTTGTGCAAATATATCTCTAAAAGAAAGTCCTGTAAGTCAAAAGACAAATGCATTTTTAAATGTATTATAGACATTATTAATTGCTTTCTGAATTGTTGCCAACTACTTACTAATGGTATATAAATGCTTGTTTTCCTATCACCTCCAGTGCTAGGTATTATGAAGGATTTTAATCTTCACTAATTGGTTCTTTAAAGATAAAAATGAAGAATTCTAAGTGTTCTATTTAAAGCCATTTTCAGATAATTTTATTTTACCTAGTAGCCCCCAGCCTTGATTTGTCGATTTATATTGGACACTCATGTGAGAAAAAAAATTGGCCTTTTTATTGTTTCCCAGAGTAGAGCAGTGGTACTGAAAGTTAGGCACCGGTATGTTCTGGTTTTGAGAGTGTAAGAACTTTCTCAGGCTTCAGCAGTGGTTTGACCTGAGAGATAAGAAGCTCCCTTCAAGCCCTCCCTGGTGGTGCAGCGGGTTAAAACACTGCATGCACTAAGAAGCTAAAGCCATTTCCACATGAACTCTATCCCTGCCTGCCCCGGTCTGCCAGCAGACAGTTCCTGGCCCGCCCGCTGCTCCCCTCAGCAGTGTACTTCATCGACCTGCCTGTTCTGCTCCCCACTGTGTCCCTGGTGAATCCTCTCACCCTCCGCATCTCTGGCCTGTACCCCAGTTCTATATAAATAAATAAATCTTTTTTTTTTTTTTTTTTTTAAAAAGAAGCTTCCTTCACCGCAGAGCTGGAAATGTTCAGGTCCATGGGGAGTGACAAAACTTCAAGAAATGTTTAGGAGGAGATTCCACTGGATCCTCACCCTCTTTGTTCTCAGCTGCATTTTAGCTCCCACTATGGTTGCCTCAATTCTGCAGTCAGATTTCTAGGGTTCGTTTTGGGTTAGTTTTGTCAGTTCCTTTGTTTTGTTTCTCTATATTCCACATGTAAGTGAAATCTGGCTGGTGTATATTTACTTTTATATGTATATATCACATTGCCATATTACTAGCAAACATTTACCCTAAGATACTAAAGTGTTGTTACTAAAATGATGAATAACCTTTGGGTACTAATGGGCTTGGTGTCCTCTAAAATCTCTTCAAGACGGAGATAATTTCAATGTCATCACACTGCTCTTATTGATAAATGTTCAAAGAGTAGAAAGATTTCTCAACTCTGGCCTGTTAACAGTTTAAACACAAACCAAGTCGCCTGAGAATATTTTAGTTGAGGACTTTAGTATCGGATGCTAACAGAAATCACTACAGTCACCCCTTTTAGTCTTCTAGTACCTTCCAATTCTAAATGCAGAGAGAGAATGGAGAACAGCCTTCAGACCCATAGCCTTGTGTGGCCACTATAAAACCACCAGCCAGTCCAACATATTGAGAGGTGAATATTTATTTAATTCACATATAAATGTTACATGGTATCCATGGTGCTATAAACATAGGCACATTTTTAAACTCAAGGTACATTCAAAAATTATCTCCTCACCCCTGCTCACTCATGCCAGCCCCATCATGATAGAATAGTCAAATATTTATAAAACCAGGATCTGAAAGCCCTTGCCTTTATTTAGGGGAATTCTGATCATGAACATCATTTGTTCTGACTTCAGCCACGCAGTGTCAATAAGCTTTTGGATAAAAGGGTTGTGCTTTTTATTTAGCATTTTAATTCTATCAACTGAGAGAATTATTTCAATGCCTCTGCTGGCCTATTTTTAGAATAGTTTTATGGTTTTGTTTCTCTTAATTAGTTCAAGTCAAAAAAACTGATCTCTGTTTTCTTTTTGGCTTTCTTTAAATTTGTGCAGGATGTTCTAACTGTTGTAATACCAAAGGGCTTGCCTTGCCACATCTAGCACTGGGCAGCTGCCCGCTGAGAACAGATGAAAGCATCATTCATTTGCACTGGCTCACCCGTAAAGGACAAACACTTAGTAATTCATTGATTCAAATAAGAAATGGGCTTTGAGCACAGAGCTAACTGGACAAAAATAAATTCTCCAAAGTGACTGCTGATTTGATGACTGCGCCTGGGCACTATCCAGCAGTTTGTACCAATCACAACATTCCTAACACACATGAAGACAAGATTAAGAGCTGCAGCGTAAAGTCTTGTAACTTACTGAATTCAGAATGAGTATCTGAAGTGGATTCATCATAGCCCCACTGATATGATGCACTTAGAGGAAAAACGTGATTCATAAATACAATTCTCTTAGTAAAATTTTCTAGTTCTTCCTAAACACATTTTAATGCAGAAAATGCATTAATTTTATTCAAATCATTTTTCTAAAATATAAATATTTAAATTAAATGTTTATAAATGCAGAGTTGTAGTTAGTTTCTGTTGACCCCACCCAACCTTCAGGGTCAAAAACCAGGGACGTAGAAGTAATATTGTAATTTTGATCGTTTTAATTTGTCTATAAATATATAAGAGAACTTTGCAATTTAATTATGAGTAATTAACTCATACTTCATGTAGTACTCAGCACCTTAGATTACATATTATTGAATCAAACTATAAGCATTAATATATGTATTTTAATATTATTTACAATACATAAGTATAATTCTCTTGTATACAACATTCCAGTGATTTTGAAAATATATAATGAGAATACAGTATAATTTACAATGCATCAAAGCTTTCTGACAGTACTCAGGCTTGGACTTCACTCTTCAGCATTTCAAAATAGGAAACAAAGAAGCAAACAAATACTGTGTTTTCCAAGGTGAGCTTTTTTAAAACTAGGTTCAGAAGAAAAGGGTTCTGCAGATAAGCATAAGGATGGCTCATTGGCTCTCCTGTGGAAGAATCACAACGTACATGAAAAGCCTGAGGAGGTTTGCAATCATGAAGCCTGTTTGACATTTTATAACTCGGTATTTAACAAACACTTTATTACCAAACTTCTTATTCCATACCCTGGCCCCCAACATCACCAGTTGAGGCCCTCTGGAACTAGTCTTGCATGATACACACTTAAGGGAAACAAGGATTGAAAATAAAAGTGCAACTCTGTTAATAAGCACAAGTCTGCATGAGTAAAATTGTATTCCTTTAAGCAGATCCACTTTTTAAAGCTCTTTGCATAGGTATTTGCTAAAATGTGATTTTAAAAAAACACACAAATCTAAACCTGAATATCTATCAACTAAAGGAAAAAGAAAGGCTACATGTTTATAGAAATTCTAGAAATTTTCAAGGTTGGAGGAAAGTGACTTGAAAATCATATAATAGGTGTATTTTTAGTGAAGTTGTTTTGAAAAATAAAAAGCAAAAGTTTTAAATTGGTAATGTGCTAGATGGTGTCTGAAAATACTCTTGTAGAAAAATATCAGGTCATTCATTGTATTATTTCCCTGGAATTCCAAGAGCTGCAGATGTGATCAATAGTTTGGATTATAGTGCTGAGACTATATATACATAAAACCCAGCATCATCCATAGATGAGGTACTCTAGTACTTCTGTGAAGATGCATGCATGCAAGCACAGGCAGAAACAAGGATCAAGAAACGGTTCAGTACTTCCACTGAAAATCATGAGATGGGAATAGTTAACTCCATGTGTTTATATATAGAGAGATACATACATATGTATCTATATACATGTATATGTGTGTATCTATATACATGTATACACACACACATATACACACACATATATGGCAATCTTAAAAATATCCATAATTTGCTTTCTATAAATAAAGTTATCAGTCTTGGCTAGCCGACCTTGGAGTGAGTCCAATTCAGAATTAATCATCTTTCATGCACACTACTCTTCAGGGAAGCTTTACAATTTAAGCAGTCTACCTTGGCTCAGATTCCACCAGCTTACAGCTCAGATTGGTATTTGATGCTTTATCTAATTCCCGATCATGCTAATGAGGACACTTCAGAATCATTCTACATCACTGAAAGATAGTTCATTAAGAAAAAGTAACAGCTGCTTCATACTAAATAAAAGGTGGGTTTCCAACTGAAATACATTTCTTTCCTTGCCAGTGAAAGTCAACTCAATTAGAAGTAGGAAATCAATCACGATAAAAAAGAGATCATTGTAACTGGTATGTGTGTATGTGTGTGTGGAAATGTCCATGCCTCCTCTATTCAGCCCTTGCTTACCTGGGGGAACCAGTTGCCTGAAACGAGGATGATTAAGATCTGTACATGCTGTTCTAATGCTCATGTCCTTGCTTGTCATTATTTGAAAGCTATGTTGCATGTTTCCAATTGCTCTCACCTCTTTACACTTTCACTGTTCTATAAAGACAGTTTTATTCTGATACTGTGGTGCTCTTAGGGAACTCCCTTGTTGTCGGTGAAGCTGACGCAAGAGTCTGGGATGGTTACACAGGATGCCGGGGAGCTAAACTGGCGGTGGCATGCTACATCGGGAGCAGAGCTCACTGCAAATGGGGTCTGGTGTTTCACTTTCTGACGTTCTCACAAACTGTCCTTTGTGAAAGGCAAGTTGTCCCTCCATTCAGGCCACCAAGCCCAATCTTGTGATCTTAGCTGACAGGAATGAGTGAATGATGAAAACCACTGGTTTGGGGCAGGAATGAAGGTCCAGTTGCTGAAATTCAAAAAAAAGAGAACATGAGTGATTTAAGTGACTGTGTTGTACAGAAGAGTGACTTACACATCAGACGTTTTGGTGCATTTCCTGCCTTTGGTGCTAACTGAAGCAATTAGGTTTTTCCATCCTTGCCTCTCAATGAAATTTAAAAAAAAAAAAAAATCTTTAAATTTGGCCCTCCCTGGTGGCGCAGCCGGTTAAAGCACTGCACTAAGAAACTTAAGCCACTTCTGCATGAGTTCGATCCCCGCCTACCCGAGAGGAGATCCACATGGTGAGGCAGACCTCTCCTGGCCCGCCCGCTGCTCCCCTCAGCAGTGTACTTCGTCGATCTGCCTGTTCTGCTCCCCACTCTGTCTCTGGTGAAGCCTCTCACCCTCCACATCTCTGGCCTGTCCCCCAGTTCTGTATGAATAAATAAATAAATCTCTAAAAAAAAAATCTTTAAATTTATTCTTTACATCTATCTTTTCTTTCAAAATAGGTTCTGTGCAAGTTTTATATACCAACAGTATAAATATTGATGTTACATTTTTTTTGTCTGTCTATAAACAGTTCAGTTTTGGTATCACCATAATAATGTTATTTATCTTGAATTAGCTAAAGCATAAAGAGCTCTTAAATCTGAAGATGAGCTTTGAATCCTGATTCTAACACATTTAGATGCCTTGGATAAGTTACTTATTGTTTTTCCCAGAGATAAGCAACTCACAGGGTAACTGGGGCACTCAGTGAGGTTACTGTATGGGAAAATTCTTTGCAAAATAAAACAGCACCCCATCGTCTTCCGCTGTGATAGGCAGGTACATCAGATGTTTCTTCGAGTCTCATCCTTTTCATGTGTTGCTAAAGATCACTGCATGGTAATTAGGTTGAATTTTTTTTTTTATCACCTGATATCACTCCTGCTGTAATGAAGAATGGGAGGTGTTCCTGCTTCTCATCAGCTGACTCTAATTCTACTCTGATGATGAGCCTGTTGGGGAATCATGATCTGAGTAGATAATATCTCCGACTCAGCTACTATATGCTGTGCTGTGTTTTCCATGCATCATGTTATTTAATTCTCCCAACAACCCTCTACTCCCCACCCCACGCCCACACACAAGCACACTATTATCTCAGGTTTTGTATGGGAAATTGAGACTTGGAGAAGTTATAAAGTTTTCTGAGATCATAGATCTTAAAGCTAGGACAAAGTGTGAACTCACAGGCCTCTTATTTGATGCCAGAGTGAGGTCAGTTCCCCAAAATGGTCACGGTACAGGAGTCAGAGGCTAAGGAAGGCCCTGAGCTGTGGGAGAGGTGGGGAGGGTCAATTGCCATTCTCTTAAGAGCAGATTGTCTCAGTGAGAGCAGCGAGCATGCTGATAGCTGAAAGAGAGCACAGTGTCCTAAACTTATGCCCTTTTCTAGTGGAAGAAGCGATCATGTCTCTCCATTTAGGCCCTAGAAGACAATTTAGCTTGGGGGTCTCATCCAGTTTTAGGTTGATCAGTAAACATGCCTTAAAGATTTCATCTTTACTCTCAGAGTAAGGATACTCTCTTGTTTCCTCCTCTCTGCTCTTGAGTCCCAGGTCCTAAAAAACAGGATAAATAGTCTCGGACTGCTATATTATTGTCTAGAATTTATAACGATGTGAATTCTCTGTACATAAATCATTAAATTCATTGTTTTTCTTTTGTTAACCCATCTCATTCTCTTTTGATTACTCACCTAGCTCAAGAAGTACTCAATGTATAGGATGTATCATTTGGCACCCTGACAACACATTCAGGTCTTCCTACAATATTCTACTTCTTTAACATGGATTGCATTTTTTGCAAGTAACCTTAAAGCTGACTTCAGCCACTGTATTATACAATTGAGGAGACTCGAGTATAAAAGAACCTGTCTGAGATAATGGAGTTAGTTATAGACTCCCTAAATAGCCTTCTATGAATTGTATTTCTGAAACCTCAGGTTTGCTCCCTTCCCCTCTATGGGAAAGGCCTGGGTCTGCCTTTGGGGTTGCTCAACTAGACACGGAGTGAGGGGTGTCATCAGCCTAATGTATTGGCAGCAAAAACCAGTCTGCTAAATCTTCCAAGTCAGGTCATAATTACAGGCAGAAAGGCTGAAATTTAGACATAACTACTTCTCCTGGGCAAAAATAGCCTTAAATTTTCAAGCCAAGAATAAAGCAGTTTTTGTTCTTCTCCACTTTGCTAGGGAATAATCACCTTTTGGGAAAAAATACACAGTTTAATGATGGATAGAACAAGTGACTGAACTAGAAGTATTTTTAGTAAACTGGATTTTCAAATCACTTGTATCTTTTCAAACTGAAACTTCCGGCTGGACTTATTGATTGAAACATGCCAATAAACAACAGCAGTAATAACACAATCTAAATGTCCAAGGATAGAAAGAGCTGGCTGGATATCGCTCTCAAAAAGGAAGTCCACAGGGATTACAACTGAGATTGCGTGAGGCTGGAGGGGTAAGGGGGCAGCAGCTGGATGGGAATGACAGGATCTTTACAGTTGAGACTTTCCTCTGCGCTTTACATCTTCCCCATCTTTCTTATCAAGATGAAGTCAATCCACATTGGTTGACGAGCTTCGTGACTAACAAGACTAGTTATTACAAGACCATGGTCCTCTCTGAAGTTCTATATTCGACAGTTGAAGCAACATTCCACGTCGTTCTGAGAAATGTCAAGAACGGCACTTGTTAAAAAGTAGGAGAATGTGCAATTCTCACCCTTCTGTTGGATGGAGGAAATAGACTTCTCCCACCGTGGCAGGCACTAAGGATCACAGGAAATCGTGAACTGAAATGCATGGGTGGTTTACACTGATATGAGAAGTGTAAATGTTACCTTAACTGACAAATTTGTTAATTTTGTTGGGCATTAGTTGTCTTAGCTGAAACCATGCCCTGGTTTAACCCTCTCTCCATGCATGTAGAGTCAACCAGTTTCTCTGTTTCTTGCCTGGCCCTTCTGCTCTGTCCCCTGTCTAGCCCTTTTGTTCATAGCTCTTTCTGTTTCTGGGGCTGTGGGGGTGGTTTCTGAAGGCCAGGATTGTGAAATACATAAGTCTGCGTCTCTGAGACCTTGTGCAATGCTGAGGTTGGATTTGATGCTTGATGCTTTAAAATGTTAATTGCACATGTTTGAAGCAGGCAGAACTCTACATGATAAAAATTGCATGCTGACATTGTATTCTTTCCTTTGATTCATATATTTATATAATACTCTTAGTAGGAAATGAGACCAAAGTAAAGAGCTTGAAATCATTGGATCCTATTTTCAACAGTCAAGTAAGATGTAAACCTGCAAGTTATTTAATAATAAAATGTTAAAAATAGTCATATGTAAGACAACATTATGTTTGCAAATCATTACTGGTATGTGTGATGGTATAGTTGAAAATCACAACACTCAAAGAGAAGTACACTTACAATCTCTCCTTCTTTGCCTCCAAAATCTAAATACAGCATCCTGATTCCATCATCTGAAGACATTTTCAGCTTTTCATAAGGAGATTGTATGATTGTCTTGGGAAAGGCACCCTCCTGTGGTTCAGTGGTTAGGGAAAATCCATTCTCATAATGGATGGTCAAACGGCACTCCTGGTTTTTGTAGGTGCAAGCTGAAAAGGAGAGAGAGAGAGAGGGAGGAATGAAAAATGGAAGCCAGTCTAGTTCCCGAGCACTAAACACTTCAATTCTCCTTGGTCTCCCAGGGAACAGACACAAATCTAAAGTTCAAAATCAGTAATTACATCTGCAAATATTCCTAGATAGACTGTGATTTAACTTGCTCCATGAAACTAACAGAAGTAAAGGGAAAGCAATGCCTCTTTCTGGGATATATTGCACTTTATCTGTGCTCTTGTGCTTCCCTCAGCCTCTGACAGCAAACAGAGAGGTGAACTTGCCTTCCAGTGGTCTTGAATAAGCCAGGAAAACCTGATATTTGAATAATTAATCTCTGAATCATCATCATTGTCACACACACATATCCCTACACACATGCAAAATCAATGCCACGTCTACCACCTGTTGGGAAAAAGCCAGCTTTTCCAGTTACACTAACAAGCTTGTGCAGTGTAACACTTAGCTAAGTGTGAAGGTTTAAAAAATAATTTCACATTTATTTTTTTCAAGTTGAACAAAGCTCATTTTATGCATATTTAAGTAGGAGCACTTTTTATATTTCCCTGGTGCCTGGTGAGTTGAGGCCCCGGAAAGCTGCTCCTGTGGTTGTGAGGAGGTGAGGTGTGGCATAAGGAACTCCCATTGGTACCCACCGGTGCCCACTCATTAAACAGAACAAGACTAAGGCCTTCTGATGAGTTTGGGCCTCTCCCCCCCCCCCTTTATGCAGACAGAACTGGGGTACTGGCCAGAGATGCAGGGGCGGTGAGAGGATTCACCAGAGTGGGGAGCAGAACAGACTGACTGATGAAGGACACTGCTGAGGGGAGCAGCGGGCGGGTCAGAAGAGATCTGCTGCGCCATATGGTCACCTCCTGGGGCGGGGATCGAACTCATGCTGAAGTGGCTTTAGCTTCTTAGTGCTGTGCTTTAAACCTCTGCACCACCAGGGAGGGCCCTTGGGCCAATTTTTAATCTAAGGCCCTTGCCGTATTGAGGGAAAGACACCAGGATTTGATGGGACGGCCACCGAGTCCGAGTTCCTCTTTATGAAGACTCATGAATATTGAAAACACTCTGTCAGAGTTCTGGGAAAGGTTATTATGTATTAGATTGGTTTTCCCCCCCTTACAAAATACCATATTTAACATATTCTGGCAAGGAAATTGGCTCAGGTTCTCAGATACATCTTAAGTTTCCTTAGGGAAACCAGACATTTTCTTAGCTGGGAGTGGGGGCTGGAAGAAGTAAGAGTAAGGACTTTATTGTTTACTTGATGCCATCATCAGCTCAGTTTAATTTTATAAGCCAAGCTGAATTTCATCTTGGCCCAAACTTCTGAAGCAAGACTTTAATTTACTGTTACAGCTGAAACAAGCAAAGCTGAAAGTTTTGAAATGGTCACCATCCAGGTGGTTTGGATTTCAAAACTGACTGGAGTTCTTTCTTTGTGCATTTATCATTCTCACACAGTGCTTAGGACAAGGAGGGCCATGGAGAGGAACTTGGCAAAGAGTCACTTTCCTCCCTCATGAGTAGCGGGGTGGGGAGACGATTCCGAGGTTGGGGGAGGAAATAGGAGTCTCCGACTGCTCACAGAGTTAGGTGGCTTCTCAAGAAATCTCTGGAGAAGCCCTTCCTCCTTCTTGAAGCCCAGCCTCCAATTAACCGTGCACACCTGTGACTTGTAACTGAAGGCTGGTCCTTTTCAAAGGTGTTTCTAACAGGTGTATGAGCCCCTCAGGAAATCTTAGGTCCCTGCCTTCCTCCAGATGAATGGACATCCATGGGTGGCCAGGGACTGAGGCATAGGTGTGCTCATGGCTTTCCACCTTGAAAGCTCATTTTTGCAATTCTTCATTTCTTCAACCTGCAGAATATAGGGGCAACTGTGCTTTAACTGTGTCAGGCTGTTTGCCTGCTTCTATGTTTGCACAGCTAAGCTCTGCCATTGGCTATTCTAAATGAACTGACTGACTACTTTTAATGCTGGTTGACCTCAAAAGATATTCATGGCCTTTCCATAATGGTTTCGGTTATCTAAAGATGTTCTCAATCTACACAGGATAAATTGAACATATTATAGAGTTAATTGAAGCCCTGATTACAACCTCAGCCCCTTTCCCTAACTCTCTGCAGGCAGCTTTCAATTTGTAACTGGGTTGCACCTTTGGCCATTTCCATAATTTCTTCTCTTCTACCATCCAGCTAACTCAGTTGACACAACTCTTTGTTATTCTCCTCTGCTAACCTATCAACAGCCTCCAAAAGAGTTCATTTTATGGGGAGAGAAAGATTTTACCAAATTTTTAGAATGCAAACTAAACCAAATCCCTTTGACCATCTTCACTTTTTCCTAAAACACTCCTGATGTTGTGGCAAGTGACCTGGGTTTTCATTCAACCTGGGGTTTAGGTAGTTTGGCTTTTCCCCACTCTTGGGTGTAAACCTCCAGGTGTTCTTGTCATACAGAATAGATTATCAAGAAATACAAGCTTCGCCAATACTCCAAAGAGGTTTTTGCCAATCACGGAGAATATACGGAAGCACTAATTAGTTTTGAGGCAATTTTTTAAAAGCTGTAAATTATCTTGGAAATGACACAGCAAATATTCCACAAAACACCTGGTTGGTTATGTCTGCATGAGAGGAGTGAGTGTGGAGAAATCCCACTGCATGTGGGCATGGCTGTGGGTGAGGGAGGCGGCTGCACTCGATGGCAGTTCCATCCCAGAGGGTCTGTGAGCCAGCAGCGTCAGCACTGCCTGAAGAATTTGCTTTCTGATTTGTAAAGCCGGTTGGTAAGAGGATGAGAGGATGCAAACTAGAGTGACTTGGGATAAAGCACTCGCACGAATCTACAGTTCTACATAGCAAAACAATATTTACTCTGATATTTCTATTCCATTTAGTTTTCTATTTTTAAATAGTGATCTTGCCTCAGTTAACTGATTGCAGGGTCCATAAAAGTGTTGCTTCTCATGATATGAAAAACACTGAGCCATTATATAAAATGCGAAGCTTACAGCAAGTGTTTCATACTTGTATATAAGTGTTCCTCCCTCCACACAGAGATCCCATGTCTCCCACCAACTTGTTATTTCTCAGAGCCCTGCAGGAACACGAGCTCCGTCTCTCCAGCCTCAGCCAGTGACACCAGAGCCTGCAATCCCTGTGGTGGGGGCAGCTGGGAACTTCTCTGCTCCCCGCAGCTAATTGCCTTTCATTCTGTTCTTCAGAGCCTGGTCCTCCAGTTTTCTGATCAGTTTTGTGAGCTACCTAACATATAATTTGGTTTTATGATAAGTTACTCAGAATCTATGTCTCTTGTTTATAACAAGAACTCTACCAGTTTGTGCCTCCAAGTCCGTGCTTCCAGGAAGCTTCCAGAAGAGATAGATCAATGACATCAAATTATCCAAGTTGCTAACTTCTCTCACATGAAGACAGAAGGCTTTCCACAAACAAAATCACCAGTAGATCATGCACTGCATTCAGTTAGAGGAATCTCAGTTTATTGCTAGAATCTTAGTAGCCCCCAATGTCGGTCATGGAATCTACTTTGAGGCCAGGGTAGAGGATGGTCTTCTGGTCAACAGCCCATCGCCAGCCATGCTCACCTGTGGTGATTTCAGCAATGAGTTCGGCAGAGTTGTGGCAACCTTGAACTATGCTCCGTGTCCAGTGTGAGAGGTCCCTGCTGACCTCTGCCCTGAAGAGATGTGTTTCAATCCCCTGCCTGGTACCAGTTCGTGTCGCAAAGGAGAGGTCCACAGCAGCCTGGGGTGACCCTTTCCCTGGACCTGAGTGGACCAGCCTGTTGAGAAAGAGAGACAGAAATCATCGAAAGACAACATTTTATGCACTTGACATGTCACCAGGTGAAAGTCCCAAATGGGTATTTTTGTCCTCAAGTTTCTGATGCAAAACCAAAAGTATCCACCTTCATGTTTACCATGATTTCCTGCCGTCTCCTCCTGTGGTTGCTTTCTGATGGTAGAGTAAAATTAAGAAAGTGCCCAAGAACAGTGCATCTGACTCCGTCCACAAAGGAACAGAAAAATATGATTTCTGCTATAGCCGGACAAATTCAACTCTATGTGCATTCAGCCAAAAACAAAGATAATTAAGGGAATGAGAGAAAGGTGTAAGTTGTGTGTCTATTTCCCCCACTGTTCCATTCTTGGGCATATATTTGTCCCAATATGAACATAAGGTGGGACAGAGAATCTGTTGCTGCTGGGGTGAACTTATTCCCCCCACACCTCTGGTGTCTGGGAGCCTCTGGCTGCACTGGATGTAATTCTGGACATGCAATTTTTATGTGCGTAGCCTACCCTCAAGCTGCCCACTGTGAAGGAGAGGCAATCTCTGTGCTTGTGTTAAAAGTCCCACAATGCTGAACCGCTAGAGATATGGAAGAGAACTGCATATTGTTGGAGATCAAAGGAATTTAATTTTCTTTCTTTGTTGTTTTTTCAAGATTTATTTATTTGTGCATACAGAACTGGGGTCCAGGCCAGAGGCTCAGGGGTGGTGAGAGGCTTCACCAGAGACAGAGTGGGGAGCAGAACAGGCAGATCGAGAAGTACACTGCTGAGGGGAGCAGTGAGTGGATCAGGAGAGGTCTGCCATGCCACATGGGTCACCTCTGGGGTGGGGATCGAACTCATACTGAAGTGGCTTGTTTAACCTGCTGCACCACCAGGGAGGGCCCCAATCTAAGAAATTTTCAAGGGTGGATTTTTAAAAAGTATTTATTTATTTATGCATACAGAACCAGAGTACAGGCCAGAGGTGCAGGGCGGTGAGAGGATTCACCAGAGACAGAGTGGGGAGCAGAACAGGCAGGTCGACGAAGTACACTGCTGAGGGGAGCAGCGGGCGGGTCAGGAGAGGTCTGCCACGCCATGTGGATCTCCTCTGGGGCAAGTGGGGATCGAACTCATGCGGAAGTGGCTTAAGCTTCTTAGTGCTGTGCCACCAGGGAGGGCCAAAGGGTGGATTTTTACCACAGAGGGTTTTCACCCTGACTTCAGGGCCTCTGCTCGCATAAATATGACTCCCACAGTAAATATTTTCTGAAGGGGCAGTCTTAAAGCAGGAGGAATCAGTCACGTGATGCAACCTTCTGAGGAGGCACCAGCTTTTACTTCTCACTTGTCCCCTTTAAACACATCTCTCAAGCTCTCTGCTCCTCCATATCTCAGCCTCCTTTGGGGAGAGATGCTCATATCAATAACTTGCAGAACAGCATGAGTGTAATTTAATAACTATTACTTCTTTTAGGGTTTTTTGTATAATTTAATAAATGTTACTTCTCTCCAGGTATTTGCCAGTTACACCTTATCTTCAATGCAGACAGAAACCATTTTATCATTTGCTAGAGAGAGTTCATGTGTCTTGTTCATTTGGTGGATGGGGGAATTGTTTTCTTAGGCAAATGGTTTGCTACTTTTAGATTAAAAACTGCACAAAGGAAATCCAAAAGCTTATTTTTCCTGATCAGCTTAAATACTGTAGGGCAAAATTATCATTGCAATAAAACATATTGCAGCCTGTTGAATTTTAAGCAACAAGCGTGTTGTCTAATTCTAAGGCACTTTCTTTAACTTACAACGTGGCAATTACATGGGAGGGGAGATTTGCAATGGCAACTTGAAGAAAATCTTTAAATTTTTATATATTGTAAAGATTTATTTACTTATGCATACAAGAACTGGGGTACACAGGCCAGAGGTGGGGGGGGGTGAGAGAATTCACCAGAGACAGAGTAGTGAGCAGAACAGGTGGAGCAACTGAAACACACTGCTGAGGGGCTGGTGGGGAGACAGGAGAGGTCTGCCTCACCATGTGGGTCAGCTCCCTGGCTGGGGATCGAACTCCTGCTGCAGTGACTGTGGAGAGAGCTTCACATTGCTGCACTTTAATCTATTGCATCACCAGGGAAGGCCCTTGAAGAAAATCTTACTGGAAGTCTTTCTGGTGTAAAATTCTTGGAAGATAGAGAACTTCCTAACAGATAACAAGTGTGGGCAAGAATCTGGAGAATGGGAAGCCTTGTCCACTCTTGGTGAGTGTAATTTGGTGAGCCATTACCGAAAACAATATGGTGGTTTCATAGAAATTAAAAACCAGCGAGGTCATGTGATCCAGCAATCCCACTTCCAGGTAGAGCTGAAGGGAGCAAAATCAGTCTCTTAAAGTGACATGGAAACCCCTGCTGCTCCCAGCCCCACCTCCATGTTCACTGAAACCTTGATCAGAACAGCCAGTGCGGGAAACCACCCATGCGCCCTTCTTCTTATCTCATCACCAAGTCCTAACTGAAAAGAAAAGGGAAGAGGAAAGTTGGATTTCTCCAGTAGGGGTGACTTATCTAATATTTATACTGAGGAGCAAATTGGTTAATCTGAAGAACATCAGACATGCCGAATTATGTATTCTCTGGAATGTCACTATCAGTTAATGAAACATGAAGTATTTGATGTAAACACTGAGAAAAAGCAAATTATCTCCCTCGCCCAGCATGTACACTGATTCCAAAAGGGTACTTGCCCCAAATTAAAATCAAGAGAAATGGTCACACATCCTCCAGAGGGTGAATCATACAGACCCTGACCGTGGCTGCTCAGCCCAAGTGCAATGCGGGGCATGCCCACATGGAGCAGAGTTCTTTCTGTATTGGCAATTCAGTTCTGTAAAGGGAATGCTCGCGAGCCACCCATTCACACCTGAAGAATTTTGTGGGTGATTTCAGTGCTTTTTTTTTGGATGATCTCATTTTTTTTAAAGGTTTATTTATTTATGCCTACAGACCTGGGGTGCAGGCCAGAGGTACAGAAGCAGTAAGAGGATTCACCAGAGACAGAATGGGGAGCAGAGCAGGCAGATTGAGGAAGTACACTGCTGAGGGGAGCAGTGGGGAGAATGGAGAGGTCTGCTGCGCCATATGGGTCACCTCCGGGGCTGGGGATCGAACTTGCATTGAAGCAGCTGTGGAGAGCTTGCAGTGGTGCATTTTAACCTGCTGGCCACCAGGGAGGGTCCTTCACAACTTTCTTATTATTCTTAAAATTTTTTCCTAAGCAATACAGATGTCCCTATTGAAAAGGTCATGAGACAGACAGGAATCCAAATCTTTCACTTTCATTTTTAGAATTGTATTGACATTATTCTTAAAAACACACACCTCCTGAGTAGCGTGGCTGCATGTTTGGTTTGCTGTTTAATGTTAGCGGCAACTCAGTGTTGGGACACAGGTGAGCTCCTCTTCATCCTTATGCATGTGTTTGGATGACTTATTCTCATTGGCCCATGTCTAGTTCCCAACCCCTAACTTCTGCAGGCTGTCGCTATGACTAGCCCTTGGCAGAATGGGGACAGAGCTATGTCCTTCGACCTGTTCTGCTAAACATTTTTATCAGTGGCTTTTATGAAGTTCTGAAGAACCTGGACATCAGCTCAGCAAATAGTCCAAAACTGGGAAGAAGAAAAGACCCAGAACCAGGACATGAGCTCTGCAGCTGGAACCCCAGACAAATAACGCAACTGGAATGGGAGAGACATGATGTAGAATCCCTGGTGGAAATGTAGCTTGCGGTGGTTTCCTCCAGGAAACAGGTGGCAGCCTGCCGAGCCCCTGTGCTCATCAGACCATGCCTCAAACACAGCGTTCAGTCCCAGGCGCCAAGCTTGAAGTGAGAGTCTTCTTTATCTTCTTGTGCCATGAATCCCTTTAGCAGTGTGAAGAAACTTATGCCCCCCCTACTCTGAATAATGTATGTAAATTTATACAGTACATAGAATTGCAAAGGGAACCAGTGATACTAAAATATAATTCCATACAAAGATCATGATACTGAAGACTATAATCAAAATAGCCACATATTCCAGACTAGCTCATAAAAAGCAAAATTTGGAGGTTTTTTTTTTGGCTGCATAAAGAAGATTTGGCATGAAGAGTGGGAAGGAAGTGTGACTTCTGTGGGGAAGGCAGGTCAGGGACCTTCCAGAATGGTGAGTGTTCTCACCTGGAGGATCCCTGCTTCCCTCAAAGCCTCCCTGGCATCCTGGGCTATCCTGGAGACTCACCTTTGGAGCAGAAGACTGCTTCTAGGGGTCTAAGGTGAAGCAGAACATTTTTGGTGAGGCTGAGATGGCCTGAGCTGACAGCTGCAGGTGGTTTTGGGCACCAGCCTGGAAGGTTTGTTGCTCACGACCAAGGCTGACATCTTAATAAGATGTCAGGGCAATACAGCTGCTGTAGACAGCACAGCGATCTGCTGGAACTGAAGTCCAGCCATGGGCTGAGTTCTTCAAGGTACGTTCCTTTCCCCAGAATTCCAACATCATCATCAACCCATTAACCCCACTGTCTTAAGATTACCATGTCATTTCCCAAGGCTTGAAGACATGTTAGGAAACAGGTGCATCTCTCATTGATTCCATGGTGTCTAGCTCCCTGGAATCAAAGCTAAGAAAAAGCTAGGAAAAAACAAAACAAAACAAAACAAACAAACAAAAAAATACCTGGCTGAATAACTGCTTGAATACATGGCTTTAACTTCAGTTTTGCTAGGGAAACACACACACACACACACACACAGAGTTTTAAAATTTGGGACTGGTGAAAAGGCCACCAAGCTGGCTCTTCCTTTGCACACCATGCTCTGGAGCCCATTATTGTAGCCACATTCTGGACATTAAGAACCAAGCAAATATCAGATGCTTATTAAGATCTTAAAAGTCATCATCTGAACCACTGAGAAGATCAGACTAAGGATAGACTGTCTGCCTGCATTTCTCCCACTCAGC